CCAAACAGGGTGGGATTTAGAACATAGACAGATGTAATGGACTTCTACAAGAAAGTATGGTCACCATGCTCATGTGAGCACGTGCGTGCACGTGAAATGAGTAAAATAAAAAATACACTTGAATTAGCGTATTTTTAAATACTTTTGGATCAAATACTTTGATATTTAGTATATTAAAATATATAGATTGTTAAGACAAGATTATATGGTCATTACGCACGTGCATTCACATGCGCACGCGTGCAATGCTAAAATTTGAATGAAATTGGTACACTTCTGGGTAAACGTTGCTAAAGTCTCAAATGCATAGTTTGTCTTATTTAATGAAGCTTATAGGGAATATGGCACCAAAAGGGAGTTGGGGAGCGTTTGGGGAACATCTGTAACGGTCCCCGTTACAATTAGCACTAGTTAAAATTATAACATAACTCTTTTTTGATGCACTGCGATATTTTAAGAATTTTTAATAAGTAAGTATGGTCGTATAAATTCGTTTGAATCCTTTATTTAAAATAGATCTTTCAGGATATACTGCAATCTACAACACTGACGTCCTAGAATCAAACCTTCTAGAATAGTTTTTATTTAAACACTGCATGCCAGAACATGTACAGGTTTTATAACCCTACAACTCATAAATTACAAACAAAAGTCACAACAATATCAAAGAAGGATGATTCAGTAAAGACCTTTTCTTCAGATCTTAGAAAGATCATAAAACAAAGAAGAACAGAAAATCAAATAATTCAATTAGTAGCAAATATCCTTTCTTTGTGAATTAATATTTTTTGCTTCAACTAATCTAAAATGCAAATTAAGGGCATTTAGAGTCATCAATTAGAGTCTTGGATGTTCTTGATAAACGCAATATTTTGCAGAAGAACCTATGCCTCAATAAATATGTGAGGGATGACATTAAAAAGAAGTTTAAATGGTCTTTTTAGATTTGTTTTGTCTGTCAATGTTAATTGAATATTTACCTGCCATTGATTTGAGATGTCAATCTGATCACTAGTATTATATGAGCGATGACTATTTGATTTCGAAAAAGCTACTTGTTAATATACCATGAAGTGCTGTGTGTGTGTTAAATGTATTATATCTAGCGTGTACAATATTTGGCGGAAATTGATTTTTGAACAAGTTCGTGTAGATTTGATTTAGCGCATTTCCTAATATTTCTATTAATGTGTATATGTCTAAGACATTAAGCGTTGTACTTGAATTAGCGGAAGTGTCTTTTCGCCAAAACGCTAAAAAGAATACATTATCATAAAGAATGCGAATTTTACTCAGACTGTCACTCGAAAGCTTCAGTCGAGTAGTCTTTAAAAGTTTAATCATGATTCTGTAGAATACATAAATTGGCGTATTCAAAATTTATTGCAATCAGTTGGTTTTGAGTTGTTGGCGTATTCATAAAGAAGCGAAACACAATTCCGGTCTGTATATTGATTTTATAAATGTTTTTAGAGGTGTTAAATTAACCGTTAATGAATAATAGCATCAATGTCTGCGCCAAGGTCGTTGAAGTATTAAGCCCGATTTATTCAGTACACGCATGAGCATTCAAAGAAGCAAACAAAGAATCATGTATAATTTGGTGTCCATACACATCCTTGGGCTTCTATTGCATAGCTAAACATCCATTTCCTTCATTTAATATACCATTCAAAAAATATCAACTAAGTTTGTGATGTTATCCTGTTTTTTTGTAAGTATTAACAAATTGCATTGTTTTTTGTTTTTTTTTTGTCATCCTGACATTAAGTTAACTGTGTTAAAAAACATTCTGTAAAAAATGTCACGCAAATAATTCCACTAGAACAAACAAGTAGCAAATAGTTACATGTAAGCATGGCGTGAATACGATTAAATTACAGTCAGTTTTTAAGAGTATATCTAATATGTTTAATCTATTAGCAAATCATGTCTCTAATCACAAAAAGTTCTTGAGGTGATATTTTTATTGATTTTTCGACATTTACATTTCGATCTTATTCAAAGCTTTAAAATCTATTTTTGGATATTGCGCTGCTTTTGGTACTTAAAGATCAGGGTTTATTTCTGTGTAAGTAATGTCATATAGACTCTTTATCAAAGACCAATCATACGACGTCATTCGCACAACTTCCAATAAATCGTGCACCTGATTTGTACTGAAAATTGTCTTTTAGGACACATAACACAAACAACTTTGTCAAAAAATTGAAATAATTTCTTCAGCCATGTTTCAATGAGTAAAATAAAGGATTTCAATCATGTAGTTTTTTATATTTCAAAATTTCTTTAGAAATTAAGGGGATTTGAAATGATTAATTTGTATAAATTATGAAGGATGGTTTCCGAGAGAAACAAATTTTGAATATCATAGAAGGTTGACGTTGACGTTTATTTTCCAAAGATTTATTATTTGCAACGAAAAAGGTTAAAAAAACATACCAATCAAGATATCCAGTTTTTGGATTGTATCGTCTGACCTCAAAATGTTATTAAATTCAAAAGATACTTTCATATAAAATATGACTAATAATCATTGTTTTTCTGTTTCATTATCCAGTACACCCGTCTCAGTGACTTATGAACCTTGTTGTGTTCGATATCACTTATGGCAGAAATGCCGCCTACGTGGCTCAGTGGTTAGAGCTGTTCTGGACCCGCGGAGTAAGGACTCTATCCTTTCGACGCAAGTTCAGGTCCTACTGTAGGACGTGAATACTGATCATTATTAATAATAATATCAATGCAAATATTTCTCCTATCATAAGCTTTTGTCCATTCAAGCTCACCTGATCTGAAACCTCAAGTAAAGTTTTCCTATCAACCATAATCCGTCCATTCGTCTGAAAACTTTTCAGCTTCATCTTTATCAACTTCTTCTGAAGAACCACTTTGCAACTTCAAACCAAAGTTGGAACATTCTTAGGTGAATGGAAATTTTAATTTTTAAAATGAAGGGACAAGCTAACTACCAATGGGAGAGAATCAAAAGAGATTTTAAAAAATTATCTCAAGAATCACTGAGACAGAAAACTTAAAAACATAAAATCTTATGCGGAAGTATTATTGAATAGTGTTAATTATTGATATTTGAAATTATGACCCTCGGGCTAAGGTCGCGGTTATGATAGCGATTCCAAGTTTTACACTAAATTATATACAGGGACTTTCTTGAAAGATCTTCTTCACAAATAGCACTGAGCCAAAAAAGTGGAAACTTATGTTGAAGCTTTATCGAATAGTGTAAATTCTAGATTATTATTCAAATCATGACCCCCGGGGGTAGGGTGGGATCATTATATGGAATCCAAATTTTACATTTGAATAATATAGAAAACATCTTTTAAAATTATATATTTTTCTGAAGACCTACTGAAATACTAAGTCTTTGGTTGAAACATTCTTGTGAAATGTGGATACTAAATTGTTAAAATCCTAAATCCTGGGGGAGAATGGGCCATAACAGATAAAACAAGTGTGGAAATCTAGTAAAGAACAACAGGGCCAATTACTCAGGTGAGACTTGCGGCCTTTGGGCCTCTTGTTGGATGTTAACTTGATGTAGAGACAATTTAACTTACTAACAACTAAAGAATATTCAAAACTGGATGTTTCAGCTCTGCAAACTTACCGTATTCATGTAAAATATATATTCTATCACGTATAGTTCATATATCATCTTCTTAATTGTAACGTATTTGTATAATTTTAAACAAAAGTAGGATAACTAATAGATATGTTGATTTTACAGGGATTTCGAAAGTATTCACTTTTTTAATGATAAGGTTTCGAAAGTGATTTAAAAAAAGACAAGTTTATTTATTTTAAATATATAAAATATGTATTACATTTTTTTTCCGAAGCAGGTTTGTCCTCTGGAAATTGTATTGTCTATTTTGTACGATACCTGTCAATTTTATTGAGTTCAATAAAAAGAAATATATAACTTGAATATTACTGACGTCAGCGAATTAAGAAAAACAAATTATCTATTTCCTAATAATATTTTTCGTTTAGCTTCATCATACAATATATACATATGCAGTCTTTCAGAGACTTTGATAATTTTGTTTTAATTAATTGAATCGAAAATTTTAAATAACCGGATATAGTTCGTAATAATGTTTTTATTAACAAAGGTTTTAAAAGAATGATTAATTTTGAAGAAAATTAACACAGTATGATATATCTTATATAAAACATGTTCGTACACACCTCTATTACATATTTTTTTATATAAATTACATGTATATCGTTTTTGTTTTATTAGAACCACATTTTGCATAAAACTCTAAAACTTGAAAATAAGTTTTGAACGCATAACAATATGGAATCCGGATAGATCCACGTAGTTCACTACCGCATCATCGCACCATTGAGGTTTAGGTCGATAGTGCGATGAAAAGATAATGCGATGACGATGAAGCGATGGTGCGATAACGATGGAGTGATGGTGCGATAGCGCGATGACGATGATGCTATGGCGCGATAATGCGATGACGATGGTGCGATAATGTGATGACGCGATGGTGCCATAATGATGACACGATGATGCCATGACAATGGTGCGATAGTACGATGATGATGATGAAGCGATATTTACTATCGCTCAATCGTGCTATCGCACCATCGTCATTGCATCATCGCGCCATAACATCATCGTCATCGCGCTATCGCATCACCGTTTCATCGTTATATTGCCATCGCATTATCGCGACATCAACCTTTAAGTTGATGCTCGATGGTGCGATAGTGGACTGCTTGGCCCTATCCGGATTCCATATAACACAGCATCTTGATAATTAAAGTTTTCCTTGGTATGACAAAAAAATATTGTATTATTTCATATAAATGATATGAATTTATACTAAAATAGCTCTTACTTTAAGGAACATTTATTTAATTAAATCTTATTTACTAAAGTTACTCTGTTTTGTTAATATAATATAATTATTTTTCAGAGTTTGCATTGACGGCCGGTGGACATATTACAAATAAAAATGTCTTCTGATAAACCGTCAGGAAGCAAAAGCTTCAAGGTGAGAACTGTAAACAGACAATTTAAGGTTAACCTTTTTTCTTCTTGGTGTCATTGAACACACCAGAAAATGTTAATAATAGATTTGAATAGCCCAAATATCATTATCTGTATTAACAATCCATCTAAATACATGTACCATATACAGATTTGAAAGCACATTTGGTATGTTTCATTAGCTATTCAACTCAAAATTGTAAATGCGATATGTCCATTCCGCGAAAATGTAATATGGTAGGGAAAAAATGCATACTAAGTAATGTTTCCCATGCTAGCTATATGACAATTAAAAACTAATTTGTACATAATGAAAAAAAGTTATCTTAATTGAATTTTTAATTCATAATTTTAATAACGACTGAGCACTGAGAGCAATACCATTTACAGAAAACGATTCTTTGATTTTAATTTTACACCTTTCTTTCATCCTCTTTTCCATAAGGCATAGTCAATAACTGAATACTTCAAATAAGTTACAATGTAATTTTCATTCCCATTTTCGGAACACATTTTTTTTTCATTTTAATATACCGGTACCTTGATTTGAAAAGTTCATGGACACCTGTCATATCTTTTTTTATTTGCTATCCAAATAGACAGAAATATTTTAACAATAAATCCAAATGATTTGTATTAAAAATAAAAAAAAAATCACCACGATTTATTTTAAACATATCCAGAATTTGAAACTGCAAAAATAGGATCGCGGAGCAAGTCAAAATTCAGTAATTCACAAACACCACTGTAAATAAGTATGATAATATCTGTAGTCATATTCTCTGTAAAATGAAGCAAAAGGGGGGGGGGATTCTAGAATTTTAAAGAAAGAACTTTTTCAGTGATTCATATTCTAATTAATAGCTTAATATTTTGCCTCGTTGAAAAGAAATCAATTTGAAAAGATAGTTAATTCTCATTTAAAAAAATAGGGCACGAATGAGTTGGGTATGTGTTATAAAGGGTACAGGCAGCATTTGATTGACAGATGATTTGTATCGGACGAGCACAATCTGTGAAGAAACGGTTTATCTGGCAAAATCTGATCAATAACTTTTAAAATTTGGAAACTCATGGAAAGATATAGGCTCTTAAGAGATGCCGATTTTGTGAAAGCACAGTTCAGTGATAAACGAAATTAAAACATCGACAAAGGGAATTATACAACGAAAACAATTGTTCAAAAATGAATGTTAAGTGCAAAAAAAAAGGTTTTTGATAAGTGATTATTGAAATATACTGTGTGAAATGTATAGGGATAACATTTAAAAAATGACGCTATTTTTTTAAGTTACACTGCCGTTAAGTATGCTACGTGGTTTCAAAATAGATTTTGTAATGAAGTAAATTGATTTCTATTGATTCGAATGAAAGGAAACTTCGTACATCAACAAAACAAAATATTTTTACAACATGATATTGTAATTAATTTCAATTTCTTTAAAGTATCATAACAAAAATTGACTCGTCCACGAAGTTTTTGAACAACCTTCGTACATTAAAGCATTAGCGACTGCGACGAACTACGTGCATGTAGCTGTATATTAACTTGCCGGGATATCTGAATAAATTGAAGAATAAGATTATGCTACTGTAAATACAATTCAATATCTCTATTGTACGATCGTTTGTATGTTCTTGGTATTTCTCTAATGGAGATGGGATTTGGCAAGAAACAACCCAAAAGATAATGATAAAAAATCTACATACAGCTGTACATTCATCTACACAAAACAAGGAAAAAGAGTAGTTTGCTGTTCAAATCTTATTCATTTTCTACTTTATCAATAATTTAAATTTTGCGCTATACTCTGATTCCATACATTGCTAAAATTTCTACTGTAATCTTTATGTTGTCCGGATGCTGAGTAGTAAGGTTTATCCTCTAAGGTATTTACCCAGTTGAAAGTTAACTTTTATAAAAACACTCCATATCATATTGATACTTGTAAGTTTCTAACTTTACTAATTAATATTTATAATTATTTTGTGTTTGTTTATTTGTAAAGTCTGACGTATTAAAAGTATGGGAAGAAATCGAAAGAAAAGTTAAATCAACCCCTACAATGGTGTTTTCAGTCATCGGAGATTCAGAGAGCTTTGTTCCCAGACCTTGGGCGAAATCAGTGTTCCAAACAGCTTTGATTGAGGCGGCTAAAAGCGGAGGAGGTGACCTCTTTTTCTTTACCCCGACAGTTATTTCACCACATTTGTACTGGATAAAAATTACTCTTATTCAACAAATAGCGGAAACAAGTCTTGTCGTTCAGATCATTGAATAAACAATATTATTCATAATTGTGGTTCCTCGCTTCCGATGTCTTTTAACTATCGTTGACGTGTTGTGTCAAATTTGTGTGCCCTATGTCATTGAAATTTTATCTTTAAAGTTTGATTTCTTATGAAAATTACTTCAAACATGAAGGGCATGGTCAGTCAGTTTTGTACATGTAAGAAGTTTATACAGGGACTGTAGTAAGATTAATGTAAGCTTAAAATACCGACCAGGAACTTAAACTTTTTTTTTGTAATTCTCATTATTTTAGATACATGGATACTTTATCGTGGGTATAACTACGGTGTTTCTTCAGTTGTTCGTAGTGCGTATGGAAAATACGGCGATACAGAATTTCGTGCAAATAGTAATGATGTACCTTTAGAGGATTCAGAGAGAAAAGTGAAACTTATTTACATGCCAGGACACATTGAACCTCCAAAAACGCCAGAGGAAAGAAGCAAGGTAATGTTCTTAGCTTATTATTGGCCGTTTCTTTTTTGCAGATACTGAGTACTTTGAAATAAAGTTGTTCCGAATCATTGTTAAGTCTTCTGATCATGAATCAGCCGCAGACTCAAAAATTCTTAGGAGAAGATAACGGGAAGTGACCAATCTTTATAAAAAAAATACCAGCAATACAAATATGTTCAGAGGGAAGAAAATACGGACCCCTTGAAAAATCGGACATGGGATCGGGTGGAGTAAGCGTCCCCCTTTTGATTGAAGTACTCCTGATCAGGTAGATGGATCTTTTCATTGTCGATAATATATACAAAAACACAGATGTCTCTGATGAGACTAGCTCCAATAGTTGAACGCATAACAAAGCAAAGCTTAAAAAATTCTTTGTCTGCAGTTGCTGACCTATAAATTTTAGACTGGGTCGGTAGGTAGGCATTTTTTTGTTTGGAAATAAAAATCAGATTTTTGTTAGATAACAATTATAAGAGGTTTTCATACACCTACTAGACATGGATAAGCTCATCTCCTGTTATAAACCACTGATTGATAAAAAAAAACAAGTCAAAATTGAAAACGAAACTGTTTCAATATTCAAAAAATTTAAAGAAAAAAAATCAAATTACCAAATGGCTTAAAAAATAGTTTGGGTCCGGTGCATTTCAGAGGGTCGGTAGGCAACTGCAAACAAACTTAATTTTATTTTAGGCTCAGTGGAATTAAAAATAGTATTAATATTTTGACTTGAATAGTTGTAGCAACAGTTAATAGAATTATAAATCTTAATGAAGGGTAATTAAGGAAGGTTTTTAGCTTTGTTTGAGTTACTGGTGTGTCAATCACACAGACTTGTCACGTAAACAAGTAGCTAGCGCGCTTCATGAAAAATATGCCTACGTGCAAGTCTTTGTGATTCACACACCAATAATTCACACTAAACTGAAAAACATTCCTTATATTTACATTTTACATGTTTGGAAGCAACTAAATAATGCTAAATATTTGAATTTCTCGCTGCCCTCATTGCATTTTTACTAAGGTCGCTGCAGCCTCATTGGGACGTCACGTTAACGCACGTTTCTCCGTGTATATTTCTACGCGTGAGTATACACGGAATGGTTTTCAAATCAATTTCACAGTTGGCTTATTAGAAAAACACACCGAATGTAAATATTTGTGTGTGAAAAGAATTGACTCCAAGACGGGGAAATTTATTAATACTTTTTGATTCAATGTGAATTCACACAAAGATTACCTCGGACTAAAACTTGTTTTTTCACTTATAGTTTGTTTCTGCAGATCAATGGCACTGTAGAACAACTTATTTTCCCGACTAAATTTTAGTATTTATAAGCGAGACAAAATATTGCCATAACTTCTTGATTCACTTTACAAAGGCTTATAGTTGTTACTACATATCAATGGCACTAGTATTTATTCACCAATATGTTCAAAAGGAAACTTTTTTGAAAATTTTATATTAAAGTTACATGAATATGATGGTTCTTTGTCGAAAAAAAAAACTTTTCTTAATAAACTTTGACGCGGTGCTGCTAAACAATTGATTTTTTCTTCATTTTCCCGATAGAGGAAAACCATATTTCTGACTTAAAAGAAATGGGGGCTGGTAATTGAATTTTACTTGCTTTTATTCATCTCACAAAAAGCATTTTTCATACATATGGCATTGTTATATGTATCCCGAGGTTCTAAGATTTCTTCGAAATTAACACAGTAACACATGTTTTACTCCCTTTTGAGATTGTTCTATACCAACGAAAGTCATAACATGTCTTTTTAAAAAAATGCAATGTAATAGCTAGGTTCTATCCGGAAATATCTACGAAGTTTACTATGTCATCATTGTACCATCGAACATTGGGTCCATACTGCAACAATGATAACAATGAGGTCACGTGAAATAGTCCGACGATGCAATGACTATGGTGCTGTGACATAATACATCAATAGCAAAATGGAATTATGGAACAATAGCAATGGGGCGAAAAAAGGATAATGATGAAGCAATATTTACTACCGGTAATTCTCGATTGCTTGATCCTTGTTTCATTTGCATTGGTATTTGCACCATCGAATCAATGCTGCATCGACCCAGCATTCGATACTTGATGGCGAGATAATTATCTACATAACCATATCCGGAATTCCGTACATTAGAATTTTCAATTTAACAATCATCAAAAAATATGTACACTCGGTAAAGTTAAATCATTTTGAAATGCCGTTATAGGGGGTGTCAGTAATAAATATTTAGTGTCAAGAAATATGTGTTTAAAGTGAGATATTTATTATGAAGTGTTTATTTTTATGAACTCTAGGTAAATCAACTGGGAGATGTTACGGAAGAAAACTTAGATGAGGTAAAGTATATGTGAAATTGTATTTAATGTGTATTTTATAGTTACAACATTTATCAGTGAATATTAGCCAAATCGGTTGTACAAGTTTACGGGCTGGCGAGTGCATTTGTACAACCACTTCCTGCCAGTGAACCTCAGTTCAATAACTTTTTATGTAGTTTAAAGATTTTCCGTTTATCAAATCAGAAGTATCTAACATCGGTGCCCACATTAAACAGTACATTACCAACGTATCTCCTCTATATGTGTTCACTTTCACATCATTCCAGTAGAGTTACGATTTACTTATTCGGACTAATAGGTGCTCATATAAACTATTAATTAATATTTTCAATTTTGTTTGACACATCTTACCTAGCTGCAAAAAGTCTTAATTAATATTGTTATTGAGCTTCGACCCAGAAATCATTTTTGTGAACAAAGGAGCGTTAAATATTGAACATCAGAAAGGTTCTTGACATACTAGTATACTTTATGAAACTGAAATCAATATAAAACCAATATATTGAAAGCACAAATTCTCTAGTCGTTTTAATTATAAACTATATCTTAGCTGTGAAATACAAATAAGTATATAGCTGTAGATAATGCTTGATCTATGCTGCTTGCAAAAAAAGTTTTTATATCGCGGGTACTCACTTTTCTCATTTTTTTGCACACGCCCTAGAAGTAAGAGATTATATGTTTTTTTTAAAAATATTATCCATTGCCTAATTTTAAAGTGTACTGATTCAAAGCATAACCATTTTAACGAAGCAAAGACGCCCGTCAGGAACACTGGTGTGCTCAAATAGATTTTATTTTTCCAGGATAGTGCATGCACCAGTCAAGAGAGAAACAATTCCACTAAAAATGTAAGTTAATAAGGCATGAATGCCACTTCTTGATAAAAAAGAAATTCTTAAAGCTGATAATTCAGACATTAACACCAATTTCCAGTAACTATACATGATAAACAATTTAGTATAAATTTCTATAAGTAATTATCGCACCTGGTCAAATTCCCGTTTTGCACATATATTTTCTGTCGCAGGCGGGCCGATAGGTCGCCACACAAAAGGAATACCAGAACAGTTCTTAGATATATCACATTTATTCAAGGCTTAATACATATGTAAAAGTTCTGGTTTGGAATGTTGTTTGGGTGGAATGGCTCCCTGACCACTTTGGGATCTACAAAATCATTGTAAATTTCACATATTATAAGAATTGCATATAAAATATACTAACTTGATTCGTGCTCATGCATATCATTCATAACTTCTACTGTATACTTTGCATTTTACTGCATACTGCATTTTACTGCAAACAATAAAGCATTTTACTGCATAACTCCACAAAATATTTACATGAAATATTTGTGTACAATACACACGTACTTTATACCATACATTGTAGCTTCTACATACTATAATAAAACTATAACATACTCGAATACTTTTAACATACTACTAGAACTTGAAATGATAGCAATACACACATCACTCACTCATGTAATTTACAACAAAGTTTAGAACTAAGGTCCTTGGCCATTTCAGGAAACTTTATAAGATAAAAACCTTTAGATTAATAAAACAAACTTTCCTCAGAAGAGATGTAAAGTCTGGTCAATATACTAATATGAAGAATACACAGTTATTCCTCGAGCAAGTGAAGTGCGTCTGCTTTACTTAATTGCTACACCCAAACAGACCACTTAAAGCTGAACACGATTCGTAAAAGGAATCTGTCCGCCATTTTTGTTCCCGAGTCTCGCTACTCTGCAGACCCCTATAAATAGGGCAGAACTTAGTCACTGTTCAGTGTAATCAGTCGACACCGGTGGAGACGGACGTATGCTATACAGAACTCGGTAGCGAGAATAATAACGATAATACTTCGTCTAGTGCAGGAAAATAAGATACCAAATAAGTTTACAATTATAGTTGTATAATTTAGTGCAGTATACAAACAACACAGATAAACGTAACTGCAATAATATATAAATAAAGGTAATGCAAGATAACCAGCACGAACACGGGTCGCTATTCCATGCCGATACCCGTGACAATAAAGCAGTCAGGTGTAACGAATGCGACAAGTATACCCTAGTATTGATGTATCGTAGATAATGCTATCGAAAATGGCGTATGCCTATTTACAAGTCGTGTTCAGCTTTAACAGCACGGGATTTAAATCCGCCAAGTAAATTCTTCTGAACAGATAAAATATTAAGGAACACCGTTATGGCATTTAAATAAGTTATTTACATAGTGAAAAGGTGTGTGTTAAAATATATGGAACAATGTTTGGACGTTAATTGTGACATTTTCTATGGATGAAATTCAAATGTGTGTTAAAGGGGAACAAAACGTCTTAAAGGGTATAACAATACGTATATATAGATAAAAAGTAAATACAATGAAAAACATATAATTTCAATAGATAAATTAAAAATATTGAATTAAAGATATTTTGCTTTACATGTTCATATACGTAATGCATTGGAAAGATACTTGTTCATAAAATTTATGTCAAAGGTCTGGGTAATTTAAGAATATAATCGGCCCTGTTTCGGATGTATCAATTTCTCTTTAAGGTTTCACGGTGTGAGATATGTATTTTTTCTCAGCTTGCATGCCCTTATGTTTATATAACTTTCTTTCTGACATAATTTATATTTATTAATAAAAATAATTATGAATTAAAGTAGTCATAATGCACATTTTTCATAACAATCAAAACCGATCTGTTTGGAGCTTTCCTCCACTTTAAGGCTAGAGAATGATTAGGCTGTATCCAAATTTATATTACAAACGTTGTGTTGATGGCTGTTTATTGGCTAAAAATTTATTACGTTGACATCTTAAGGTATTCAATGAATCTGAATGAATAATAGATTGGCTAAATACTAATTATTTCTCAAAATAATCTCCATGTTTCAGTCTTAATATACGTGGAACGTGTCCTACTTTTTAACTTTCACCCTTCCCTGATGAGTTATCCCCTTTTCCCTTTCATCGATAAGATTTATTTAAAAAAATATATCTGGTGTCAAGATATTTTAATAGTTTTTTTTTAAATTTAATTTTATTCTTTTTATATTTATTGTATTTAATTCTTTTATTTGAAAAATTGCTTGTTCCCATAGACATCAATGTATTCTTAATTAATTAATAACTGCTCAGATAATCGTGTTTTTGAAAATTTCTCCTTGTAAAACATTTTCAACTCTAAATTGATCTGAATTAGTATCAGAGTATTTAATACAGGATCGATATTTAAGGTTAGAAAAATATGTCCTTTTATGGGCTGGATACCCTAATGCGTTTAAAAAGTTTAGATTTTTTTGTTGGGGGAGGGGGGGGTTCAGATAATTTCAACGAGCTTGATTGATGATGCTGTATTAGTTCTTTGGCAAATCATGCATGTTGTAAGTATTTTTATAAGAAGATTGCTCGCAAGTTTTTTTTTTTTCTTTTTGACGCCTGTAACCACCCCCACTGGATAATAACGTAGCACACGCTTGAATTTAAAGTACGTGATGATCCATTTATATGATAATAATCTGTATTCAGTATTTGAAAAGAACATATTTGTGAACTTTACCAGTTTTATTGTGTCCCAAACATACCATGAATAAGATAGCGATTAGCGACTGACCTAAGTCGGTAAAATAGAGATAGCATCTGTTCCTTCACCATGCGCTCATCACTGAGGGAAAGATGTGGGACTTTCGTGTGAGATGTTAAAAACCGAGGCCCCTATCGTAGAAGGCGCTGACACGATAAAGAACTCTTAATGCTCAATGGCCCTCGTTGCAACATAAGCGTCCTTCACCGATTCATGTATGTAGGAGTGAAGAATTATCGAATGGGACGATAATCAATGTACATTTGTACAAATAAATATTTTTTTTAAAAAGTCAATAAGATACTTAAACTTAGCCAGTTTGTTTATATTTTTTAAGAATATTTAAGTTTAATCTTATTTGTTTTTGTTTATCACAGACGCTTGCCAAACCATCAAAGCTTGAATGCTACATTGAACCTACAGAGAATAAAAACTTCGTACTGGACTTTGAGGAATTTGTTTCGAAGCAGGAACTTCCCTTTCTCAGCCAAACTTTAGACTTAAGTAAATTTTTATATTTTCTTTGGATTCGAAAATAGTATAATGTACTGTTGTTTCCTTCATTTAAATGAAATTGCAAGGGAAGGTGATGGAGAGCTTACAAATGTACCTTAGAATGCGATACCTTCGGAGTTTGTATTGGCATCCAAAATTAAAGATGTTGAAGCAGATTTTTTGTACTTACACACATGTATGACCTATATTCAACGCAAATAATTGGAATATGCTTTTAGTGTGTTTCATTGTACGAGATCATGACTAGATGATTCAATGTAAGTAAAGGAATATTCGTGTTATTCTATTTAATGACCTAATTAAAGATTATTTAGCAGTTCTATTTTCCAGTAACTCTAAGTCCTAATTTTACCAAACTAACATGAATGATATTTCTAAAGATTTGAAAAGTACAATGTATATTTTGAATGCTTAATCTAATCAGTATGTTTTTGGATCAAGTCTCATTTCGAAGAAACTGTTAGACCTATATACTAAGCAAACTCGAAATTGATGATTGATTTAGGAATGAACATCACTACGTTTGACTGGGATGGTTGATCTTACATCTTATTTTAAGATGAATAATCGTGTTTAGGTTTAGGGGACGGGTATATTCTCACATACTATAAAACTATATTAACCCTAATTTCATTAATGGTAAATGAAATGATGCATAATACCAAGTTTATTTGGAATTTTGAATCAGGCGTTCGTTTTATACATGAGAAACCAGAATTTTTTTTTCTCTATTTTCAATCCCAAGTGCTTATTTACCTTTCTTTGACAAGACTGATGATGATATATCTATTCAAACACATTTGCTATAAATAAAGCCTTGCTTCGGATGCTGGGTTTTACATTTATTTTTAGATGATAGACTTTATTTAAGATTTTGGAAGAAATACCTTTTTAAAATGACGTCAAATCCTATACTTAGCATCTTCCAAGAAAAGTTTTAATTTTGATGCACACAAGCATAGTCAGATTCAGGAAGTGATCGACCTTTTTTAACGTTTAAGAGAAGGCACATCCCCTAACAATTATAAGATGATGGATGCAACTAAAGTCGTTTGAGATACATGATCTTCCCTACATTTTCCTAATATATGACCAGAACAAATCATTTATAGCATATTTTTTCTCCCAAATTTCGGTAAGATCTGTATTTGATTACACATTTTCGTAATTGTACATTTTTATTATCACCCAAAAATAAAGAATAATATTTATATATAATATTTACGAGGCCAAAAGGCTTAAGTAAGCTTTATATTTTAGTTGAAGTGCGTCTGCGCTGTGTAACGTTTATACACTTTGGTAATTTTACTCATTGTGATCCAAAGTCTGTTCGAAGCTCCCCTAGATGAAGTAACTTTAAAAAAAAATTAATATTTGAAGGGTTATTATTCCTTTCACACTTAAGGACAGATATAGGTGATTAAAAACCGGCAATTGATGTTCTATTATAAGGTAATTTTAACCCCTCCCCCCCAAAAAAAACCCCACCCAAATATCTATATATCATTTTATTGAATTTTTATTTGGTAAAAAAGACTATTTAACAGAATTACACAAGTTTCTAGAAAAAAGCCCATTTTCATTTAGCACAATTGATTTCACAGTCTTCTTACAGAGGACTATGTATTTATGTTACATTAAGAGAGAAGTGAATAATCCTGGAGCAAAATTAAAATTGAACTCAATGAAAATTTTGTGTACTTTCTCAAGCGAGCAATGTGACCTGTAACCATTCAATCTCTCAATAATTACATTTCCATTCCTTAAATTATGTATTTTTTTCCCGTCAGATTTGCCTATTCCAATCGTCATTTTGGCATGCGAAGGTGATATTAATACAATTGAACATATATCCGAGGCTTTGAAAAGAAAGATTCCGGTGATTATAATCAAGGGATCTGGAAAAGCCGCCGATCTTATTTTGGACTACATGGAAAAGTTTGTAACCAATTGTTTTTTGTCATTTTTTAAATTTAAAGTTAGTTTATTTACATTGGTTACTATTTTTTTCGATAAAGCATTATATTTTTGTTGCAGTAATTTATTCACTCTGTTTTTTATTAAACAGATACGAGAAGTAGATTTTTTTTATACTAAAATCAATAACACATACTCTTTATCTTTATTTAAAGAGAAAATTTACTTTTTATCTTTAGTTATTTACTAAATTTTACTTTCAAAGTATTGTTGCTTGTTATTTTTCTTTGTAGCAAACAACTTATAAAAAAAAAAGCAAGCGTTCTTTTTGGAATTCGGTTCAATGAAATTGCTTTCAAAACACTAACCCGTCATTTGAGTGACATTGTGGAGGCATCTGATTTGGTAAGCATTTGATTGTGTAACTTTTAGTTTTGATTTCTAAGATATACTCCCAACCAGTTGCCGTGTCATTCCTTAATGTTTAAAACGTGTTCAAATCGTTTGCATTTTAAGGTTTGAGGTGTATAAATCCGTCTTCTTCCAATACTTCTTAAATGACTATTAAATGTAAGAAAATCAAGATGTACTAAGGGTCTTAGGGAGTTCGATCCCGAGCTTTTGAGTGGATTTGGTCCTGACCTTTAGTTTTAATATGTCGCATCATTTTTAAGTTCTAACATTGAATCTGATTTCTACAATGCAAATTGAACTTTATTTCATGGAAAAAACACCACGATTAAATTCCATTCATGTAGAATCAAACAAAGAACCTTATTTTGTGGCGGAAGTTTTTTAAAAAAAAGAAAGAAAATGATCAGTTTTTTTCCCCTTTGAACTTTAACAGTACTAGAATGTTTAGATCCCCATTTTTGCATGCTAGATGCCGGCAAAAATGTTTTTGCAGTGAAATTTGTTATGGTTGTAATAATATGAAACTGTTTTCTTTTTAAGTTTCCAAAAAATAACCGTCACATTTGTTTCCCTTCATTTATTTCCATCAACATTGGTATTGGAAAGGGAAAAGGGAAAGATTGACTTCAAGAAACAAAATAAACAGAACTTACAATGCTGTACACTATACAAATGTGACTGAAATGACGAATGACAATATTCAACTGACTGATATACTGAGTACAAAAATTACAAATACTTTATTTCATAAACTAGTAAGGCATGATAGTATAAAATGATATAAGTGAATAAAACTTTATAAATGACGTTAACTTATAACCTATGAGAATGCTTATTTAAATCAGATGCTCAAACTGGGGATTAACCTCGTTTACTCCAAAATACAGTATACCTTATATCTTATCTCATTATAAAACAAAGACTGTTAGATGTTTCTAAGCAAGCTATATTAGAAAATATATTAAACTCTTCAAAGTGTAATTTTTATCAACATTTAATTGACAATTTCTGTTTGCAATGGTATTTAACAGAACCTATTGACAAAAAATTAAGACAGCTATTAACAAAATTCAGGTTATCAAATCACACGTTGAATATTGAAACAGGTCGACACCATAACTTACCTAAGAATAATAGAGTATGTACATGTTGTAAACTCCATGATATAGAAGATGAATTTCATTTTATTTTGAAATGTCCATTGTATATTGATATAGGAAAGAAATTTTTCAAAAAATATTATTATACTAGGCCTAGTGTCTTTAAATTAATTCAGCTGTTAAGTTCTAATAATATTAAAAATCTCGTAAATTTGGGCAATTTTTTGAATACAGCAACAATGTTAAGAAAAAATAAAATTAATGTATAGAATTATTCCCAGATATGTGTTCTTTACGTTCACTCTCTCTGTATGTTTTTTTTTCTTTTTGTTATTATCATGTTTGTTGTATAACTCTGATGGGCGAGTTGCTTAAAGAAATAAAGAAACTAATATAATAGTATACAAAAAGATATGAAGTTAACACTGATTTCAGACAACCATAAAAAAGGTAATAATCTTGATTATTTTCCAACACTTCCAAAAATATATGGTTAAACAGCTCAAAATCAAAACATCTTCTGGTAAACATCGAAAAATCGTGCAAACATAGCGGGTTCACACGTCAGAATTGAAAATTCCTATTCTGATAAATTTGAAAAAATAAATGAATCCGGATAAATTTGGACAAAGATACAGAATCAATCTTACAATGGTGCTTCTGAAATATCTATTTTATTATTTCTTACGAATTCTTTCAACGCAATATGACAAATATAGTAGGTATATTCTGTAAATCCGGGATAAAATTGAGCCAATTCTAACGTAAAATTTACATTTTTTTAAGTAATATCTGAAAATTTATATCATCTACCCATACTTTTGATGTTCTTTTCTACATATTTAAGATACCTTTCACCCATTTGCTGAAATGTTAAGGACTTTAAAGCGGAGTGTATATATCTCAGTTGATTCGATACGCAAGAGCATGCTCAACGTTTGAACAATTTCTAAAACGCGGTAAATTATTGACAAGCAAGTTGATGAAACGCGAATATCCACAGTCTCCTTTAAAGTCATCACTTCCTAAGATCTTTGGTCGAAACAATGTCCTTGTCAGCAAATACAATTTATCATTAATTCAAATGCTGACTGACGTTTTCATACTAATTGTTAGTCAATTATTTATACATTGAATTGACGGAGTTTTGCGTTATTTCCCGATCACGACAAGGAGCACACGGCGGGTGTGACCGGTCAGCATGGGATGTTCACTCTTCCATGGCACCTGATCCCACCTCTGATGTTTGCTCTGCTCCTATTTTGTATTGTTTTATGGACTTTTATATTGTAAACTGTTCGTAATTTCCATATCCTTATCACAATTTTAAAGTGCCTTTTTTGAATAGACTAAGAGTTCATTTTCTTTCATGCTTTAATTGGATAAAGATTAGTAATGGCAATCGATCGCAGAATTGCTAATCGGTTAACCGCAAAACGTTCCAACCGATTAACCAGTTAGTGATACCAAGATATATATTTTAACATTTTCTTTTTATATATACAAAAAAGATTAACAAGACATAAGAAGTTACATTCTGTTAATTGTTCTGATCGAGGAATTTTATGTACAAAAGAGTATATTTTATTTCAATTTAAATAGACAAGAAAAAAATTAAGAAAACCATGAATCTTGCTTGAGAAATCAGACAGGGATAATTTTCCAACGCAGATATTAACAAGTTAATTCTGTGTTGTCACCATAATCAAAACTTGTATATGTCTGAAGTCTCACTTTATTTACAATAAACAACATTCTTGATAATAATATAATTTATTAGATAACAGCAAAATTTGGATATACTTTTATTAAAAGTGTTTAACGGTGATGTTTTAATATCATTATAAAAACCACAGGACTATCTGGGACGGCATGATGTTATAAAAGCAGTAATTAATACTTTACGAATTTACCAATTACCCTGCGATCTCAATCTGGAGAGCTATAATTACCTACAAATATTCTTAATTACAAGAGGTATATTAACACTAAATAAAAATCTATGCAGCGCTTTCCTTTTTAAGTAGGGATTTTGAGGAAACTGCGCTCAAATTTACATGTATTTTATTTTTTCAGACTAACTGATTACGGACTTTATAACTGATATGCATCGTTCCGACCGATTAATCGATTAACCGATTACAAATTGCCATCCCTAATAAAAATATTGAAGGAAAAACATAGAAGAGGTAATTCTTAATTAAGACACATTTCAGTGCAAATAGGTAATATGAAATTTATTTTAGCGCCAAAAAAGCATAATTATTGACCCCCATTTTTGATTTGAAATTTAATTAAGATATGGATGTAGAAACTAAAAATATACTTGGCAAAATAAGTTTTAGACTTTAAGTATCAGGATCCAAGGTATATAGCTTTCACCTGTGTATGATACAACACAGCATATGATCCATGGTCCAAAACAAAATTAACGGATTGACCCAGGGACCATGGAATTCTTAATTATTGAAGAGCCACCATTCTTCATCATAACTCTACATGTACATACGCAATAGCACCTAAGATTTTCATAGAGGTAATGCATTTTAACTATAAAATGTATAAAGCTCCACCTAGCAATAAAACCCTGATCCTGGGGTCATGAATTTCACAGACCGCGCCAAACGAATGTATTGATTAAGTGGACTATTACTTTATATGTAAAGAGAGTATTTTTTGTGAATTAAAAATAAAGTTAGACTATTCAGTCGTCAAATTAAGTTCAAAACCAAGACAATCAGAAGTCGACATAGTGATGGGGTTTATTTGTTACATGTATATATATGAAAATTAATAAAAGCGTTTACACAGAAATAAAAAAAAAACAATTTTAATAGGTTGGTGTATTTGACGTAAACAATGACAATCCACTGATGCTGTCAAACACCATTGGTGAAGGAATTGTAAGCTGTTGGGCGACGGAAAAAATTCTAAGTACCAGAGGTATACTCTCAAATCCGTTCAATAATATACGTAAAGTTTTCTCAGATATTTCCTTATAGCTTTGATTGAAGAATATTACATGTTTTTTCCATAATATTATTAAATTGTTTTGTTTTGAACATATTTTATTGACAAGCAAAAGGATAAGAATTATAATATTATTAAATGACAGTGGAATCAAGAAAGAAGTAATTAAATATGAAAATATAGCCTGCGTTTAAGCAATATGAGCTGCCTTTTTTAAATTTTAATTTACCATATAGGATAATGTTCTTTATCTATAATCCTTTCTTTTCATAAAATAAAACCCTGAGTAAACTTCATACTCAAATTTGGCATTTTGAGTTAATTTCAATTTCAAAACCTCGTACATAAATCTTGCCAAATTAAGGAGAGGTTTACTGTACATTCCTTATTTTACGCGAGTACTTATTTATATTTATCGCTAATGGGCTCTTCAACTGCAAACCGCGAGAATAATTATTTGCAAATGGACGATTAGTAAAGAAATTTTACATAGATTTCAGCACCATAAAAATACAGGCGAGTAATTTCATTTAGCGTGTGTTCATAATTATATACGATACTTAATTCCTCGCGTATATTTAGGAATCAACAGTATTGTGGCAATTTGTAAGTATATAAAGCATTTATTCAATGTCATTTGCCATATTAATTATAAAATGTCAAATATTGTGCAAAGTTATCACTTTTTTACGGATTATATAGATAAATAAACAAAATCACATCGAGTTCAGTTCAATCTATTCAAAGAAGGTAGACACATACATATATCTTAAATTTATAATAATGATTTAGATGCAAGTGTGAGAAGTCCAAAACCAAACACTCAGAGAGAAAAGACTTTACAACTTACAACAAGTAACGGGAATGCACACATTGGAACAACAGTTTCCGTGGGAAAACTTCAAAGTTATTCTGGTATGCCAAAACAAGCCGATATTGACAAAATATTTTTGCAACACAGAGAATCAAGAGCTTATGTTTTAGACACCAAGTACTCTTCGCCCACCTCCCTACCATTATACTTCTTCTTTGAATACCAGTTTCTGCAGCAGTCTGAGAAGTTGAAGGAACATGGGCATGTACGTTTATTTTACTTATATTTTCAAACTCACGAGCAGTAAAATAGATTTATGCACAATGTTTTGAAAAAAAGAACAAACTTGTTTATTTTTAAGATTTTTCCTTCCTTTTTAGATGCTGCTTTTTGAAGCATTAATTGCCAATAGATGTGATTACGTTCGGGTATTACTGGATCAAGGTGTTCGATTTAGACTGTGGAATTTATCTGAACTATATGAACAGGTATTTAAAATAGATTAAAAAATGGATCTTTTCCTAAGAAGACACAATTAATATAATCCATATTGAAGATGATATATGAATATTATTTTATTGTGATTAACTTATAGTTTGAGAATGTGTAATTTATGGTCAATAACTTACAGTGTTTTTTTTTTATAAATAAAAATAGACTTATCTCAAAAATGTATTCTAAATATGCCAAAAAAGAAACAATATGTATAACAAAAAAAAAAAAGAAATTCAATAAGAGTTATATCTTGTACTGAATTTATCTTTCTTTAAAGACTGTTTCCTGTAAAGACTGTCATTTTGAAAAGGACGACTGTCTACACATTCAATGGCTCCTCAAGGTATTTATCTCGATCTCTATAAATTATGGGTTTAAAACGTCCTTTGATAAAACAAAACTATTTTTAGTCAAACGACTTATTATTCACAGTGCGACTTCTAGTCACTATCCTCGAAACCTGGAACAAAGTGCTCGGGCCAATGCTACTGTTGAGGGTTTTTTTTCGAAGTGAATATTTTTGATATCCCAAACTAATATAATCAAGAAGGAGATAATAGAAAGTGCCGTTGAATAATGTGACAAGGAATTGCACAGGAAACAAGAAATTTTCTTTTGAAAATTATAGACAGGAAGAAATTGTAATTAGAAAAAAAAAAAAAAACGATCAGTGGAAATTTCAAAGATTGCAAAAATGTCCGATGAGGAAAGCGATTTTTTTGTCGTCGGGTTACATCTATTGCTAGCCTCAAGTATCGATTTAGGACAGCAAAAATGATACAAACAATTGTTTTTGTTTTGAGGAAACTTGATATTATCTCATTAGTTTAGAAACTGGATAATCCGTTCGAATTTGTTTTCCTAAGACTTGAAAATGAAAAAAAGACTTTAAGCGATATTAATTAATATTTCAATAACATTATAAATATGGACAAATCAAACTCAGAAGAGGTTCACAAATGAAAAAAAATTCACAACATGTTTGTTTGGTGCTAAACTTTGAAAAAAAATATACCAAGCCAGGTGAATTTTATGAGGAAAAACAAAATGGTAAAAATCAGCCTATGTGATTTCTCTAATTTTTCCTGCTAATCAAAAGTCTAAACTAGTTGGAGCAAACCATAAGTTCAAAGTTTTGCAATAAAGAATTGTTGAAAAAGTCTTCAATCGAAGAACATCGAAGCAATGATTAGTCATATTATTATAAAACATCATGAAGTAATGCAGACTCAAATTTGTTCAAATTTAGGTTGCGTAAGAATAGGGCTACAATAAAACATCAGATTTTAAATTGCAAGAACCTTGAGATAGTGTAATTAAAGGTTGCTCAACCCCCGCCAGTCAATACTGAATCGATTTCTGCATCCCTTATAGCCAATGTGCTAAGCTGAGGGATGTGGACCATGGAAGTCTTGTTTATCAAAAAAAGGTAACGCAAAATGGAAATGACTTCGCATACGAGCATACCTAAAATCTCAGGCAACATAAGGCCTTAAAAAATTGCCATTTCGCAAAAGGACAAGCTAACACACAAAAACACAAGCACAAGCGCGTTGCTGTATCACCTCCAACTCAATTGCGAAGAGATAACAAATGTAGCAAAGAATTGGAAAGCAAACATCTTGTTCTTTAAAATGTGTTAGTAAAAACAACTTAGGTGTATTGTAATTTGGCGATTTTTTTTATTCTTATATTCTGTTCAATGCGGGACATAAATAATGATTTAATTAAAAAATATACATAAAAAGATTTTAATGATCTATCTTCAGCAAATCGAGGAAAAGAAGGCTGAAAAGCTGTGTTTTTCACACAGAAAATTTACGCGGAAAATACAGAAAAAAGAAAGAAAAAACCGTGAAGCTCTTAAAAAACTTCAAGAAATGGACCGATCATCTAATTCCGATGAAATTAAGAAGTTAGAAAAAAAAATCAAAGACAGAAAAGAATCTATCAAGGAAAATAAGGAGAAACTGCAAGAACTTGTTAAGAATGAAAAAGAGCAAACCAAGATCGCTGAATCTGCCAAAGGGTTATGTCGGAAAATACTTGGTTATAAAGGTAAGTTCTCATAACTCTGCAGACTGCTATAATTTATTACAGGGGGGGGGGGGCTGCAGATGAATTCTGAGGATTTTTTTTATTATTATCATTTTTTTAAAATCACATTTCATTTTAAGATTCACAAGAAAAAAACAAAATATTTTGCTGGGATGATTTTCAAATTATGTCGAAAACCACTTGCTAATTAGAAATGTCGTAAGACTTTTTTATGGTAGATTCAGGGGATATAGTTTTAGCTATGAGCTTTAACTTCCTTTTTCCTAAAACTATTATTGATTTTAAATATTGGTTAAAAACTTTCCAATTTCGCATATGTTTTCAAGCCAAGAGACCTTTTCTTAGACACCAGCGACTTTGACATATCGACTAAAGTTTTACCAACTTTTGCAACTTTATACCAATCTTGGTCATATCTTATGAAGGTTTGTTGCTTTGGCTCTCATACTTCACACGAGTATTCCTTTCAACTATTGACTTTCACTTCGGAATGGTTGAAGCTAGTGATTAAATATTTCTGTCCCTTGGGTAAAACAATTCAGTATTTTTTACTTGAATATGTATCGGTTTTTCAAAACATGTAATTTTTATCAACTTAAAAAATGATCCTCTTTTGAAAGAACGGTGGCGGGACTTCCATACTAAACATGCAAATCCATGTGAATAATTGATTGTTGTTTAATGTCCCTCTAGAGAAATTTTCACTCATACATGTATGAAGACACCGCCACTTGCCGATGGAGAGCTACAATTTTTGTCCTTTGCTTGGTCCTCACGGCCACTGAACAGTAAGGGATCTTTTTTGTGCCCGCACGCAGGCTTGTTAAGGCAGCAAATTGATCAGAATTTGTCGAATTAACACTTTTCTTCATAATGTGTACCAGTAATAAATTGGAGGAATCATGGATAAAACTTTTGATTTCATTATGCATTCTATACCATAAAAAGTCAGTGTTTTTTAGTGTTTTTTAAGTACTTTGGGACGGGGGGCTGGGGCCCTCAGAATTGGGAATTTCAGCTTCAATAAGGCTAAATTGGGAATCTCCCAGAAAACCCAGTCACTTGACAAAGCATTGTCAAAAGGCTTTTTTTCCCCTTTGTATTGCTTTAACAAACAATTGTTATAAAAACGAGACTATTTTTGGTATGAATTTTCTAATATCTTGCATCAAGAACAATAGTAGTATTAATAATCTAATGAAGAAATCCATGGCTGAACAACAAAACCTGCTTGAACTTCACTGAAAAACATGCAATAAACAAACTAAATTTTATCACATGTTTTGTAAGTTTTCTTTTCTTGGGGGGGGGGGGGGGGGGGGTGGATGGGGAACTTCCACTATATTTTGGGAAAATACAGACATTATAATTTAAATTGGGACTGGGGCCGAATTTTGGCCTTAATTCGGTCCTAAAAATCCCTGGAAGTGATGCTAAAATCCTACTGTGCTATCAAAAAAACAATTATTTAACACTTTTGGACGAACTTTGAATGCTTAAAGCTCGAAGCGAATTCTTTGTATAACAAGCTAATTCTGAGAATTTGTGTCCCCCGCTTAGGGAAAAAGTAAGAGGAGGGGGGGGGGGGGGTTGGGTTCGGATCCCCCTGACTGAATTTGTAGAATTATTAAATCTATATATGTATGCTGAAGCAAATTAAATATTCCAATATAGATTTAAAGATTTGATGGCTTATTCTTTATATAGAAGATTCTTTTTATATGGAATATTTATCACACTGTAATGATGATTTTATGAGTTTGTACAAGCCTGACCTCATAAATTTTTCATTTCTTATGCTGAATACTATCATTTAGTGAAAAAAGTATTTTTGGGAAAAAAAAAATAAAAAAGGATCACTCGGGATTCGAACCTGGGACTCTCAAATGAGAAGCGAGAGACATACCACTAGACCACGGAACTTCTTCGATCTCTCGAAAATTATATGCAAACATGAAGCCACATACATGTATATATTCACGTTCGATATTGTCAAATTTTACACAATGCATGATGTCTAATTTAACCTTTATTAAACAGTTCTAATAGATGTAATGAGAATAAAAATTCCACCGAGAACCTGTTTTATACGTAATAACTCTCCTAATGCCCCTGTGCTAAAAATTGCTACATAAATACTAATAAAACAAACGGGACAGGACACTTTGAAAGGGGTGAGATAGGTCCTAGGGAGTTTTGGTAAAAAAAATACATTGCAAAAGCTCAAAATCTTCTTGAAATATCGTCCGGAAACGATAGTGTTATACACAGGCAGAATGTATAAATTAACGACCTTGAACTTTGACTTTTTGACCTCAAAATCAATAGGGGTCTTCCTTTTTCCACAGGGGGTTGCTATGTAAAATTCCATTGCTAAAGCTCCAAGGATTCTCGAGATATCACGCGGAAACAAAAGTGTTATAACAGACAGAATTTACGAATTTCTTACCTTGACATTTGACCTAAAAATCAATAGGGGTCTTCTTAAGTCCATAGAGAGTTGCTATGCAAAATTCAATGCAAAAGCTCAAAGGGTTCTCTAGATATCGTGTGGAAACGAAAGCGTTGCAGAAAGACAGAAAGACGGACGGACAGACGGACCAAAATTAATATCCCCCACTTTTCAAGCGGGGGACAAAAAAAGAAGATTTAAATTGCTTATTTATTCAAGTGATATCGAAATAATGGAGATGGCAATGGAAAACCTGATGTTGTAATTGAAATAAAATTTAGTTGTTAGATATTCAGTAATTTCTTTTCTTCCCTAGTCGAGCAAAAGTATTTTTTTTCTTCTGTGATATATTCATTAGCCAAAATTTTATAAGCATGGGACTCTTTGCTTTGCTCTGTGAAACATATTCAGTGTATTAACTTTTAATTGTTAACTACGTGTTTTGTAAAGAGATTAATACTTTTTGAGATGTATATTTCAATAAATTCAAACCTGAGTATGGACATCTTCGAACCGGTATTTTATTTATATAAGTTACAGCGTTCGATGGAATTTCTCGAGATCTTTCAACATTTGTGTCGTATGACGTACTGCGATTAAGTAATAAATTTCAAGTGAAATTGTCAAAAAAGACAGACATCTCTTTTGAAATCTGCTGTTGACAAATACTTTTGACTTTAGACTATTTTGTTTTGCCAGAGCTTTGTTTTCTTGTGACAAGACCTTACTTTGATTACCTACGTATTTTAAGCCTTGTCCTTCACTTTCGAGGTAGAGTTTATGTTTAAATCAAACTTTTTTCATGAGCCGTCATGCGGGGATTGAGTGATGGGATAACATTTGAGTTACGTTTGTTTTTCTCTTTCTTCTGCAGAATCAGAAGACACAGAAACTAATGATGATCCTGAAGATACGGAAAATGATGCTGAGGAAAAATCAAGTTATGTAAAAATATCTGACATCTTGCTTTGGGCAATATTTGCAAATCGAAAAGAAATTGCAGAAATATGTTGGCTTCGAGGGAAAGATCACTTATGTAAGAAACTTATGGGCCACTCCAAATGAAAAAAAAAAATCTTCCTTTTACCGACGGAACTCATAAAATTGCAATTTTAACCTTCATTTTTAAATTATGAAGTCTGTGACAAAGTAAAATTTCTACTTGGATTCACACTTTACTTCGTAAATATAACACTCTGATTACTCTCCTCGCGCTAAGCAACTGATTCCGCCTCTGAAATTCGAAAATTCTAGGCGTCCATGTTGTATGCACTTTACAGATGTATATAATATAAATCGACCATCGTACGTTATTTACACATAGTAATATAAGAAAAGTGTTGATGAAGATCAGCTGAGCAATAAATTGACTAAGTTGAGCAGTATGTACAATTTGTTTATGTCGATATAATTTTATTCATTACTTTTTTTTTGTTCTAGTAACGGCCTTAGTTTGTGCTGCAGTGCTGAAAAAATTGTCTAAAAAGGCAAATAATGTAAAGGAACAGAATCTTTCCAATGAATTTGCTGAGCACACACAGTACGTTTTTGTATTTTTTTTCAACTGTTAACTAAAGGTACCAAGAAACATGAAATAATTAAGAAAATTGATATTTTTAAAGTCAAGGTATTCAGTCATAATATATTCGTTAACTTCATATTCTTCTTTTTTTTTGTTTGCCAAATAAATATGAATTATTGAATCAATAACTAAAGAAGTTAAAAAAAATAAAACAGATCTACCGATTCATACACTCTGTTAAGAAGTTACTTTCATTTTTATTCTGTATTTTATGTGGTGTATACATGTATTGTTGTACTTTCTTGTGTCAGTAATGGAGTTGAGTTTTTACTAGGACCCTACTAAAATTGCTTTCAAATTCTATCTTTAGATTGTTTGAAAACAGATGCTTGACGATAATGGACGGAATGTATAAAGAGGATGACAAAAACGCCATAGATATTATGGATGATGACACGAATGTTTGGGGTATAAAATCAAGCCCGCTTACTTTCGCTCACGAAAACTTTATGTACGATGTGGTGGCTCACACTTGCTCCCAAAAAAATATGAACAAACAGTGGTACAACAAATTAGCACCTGACTTGAAACCATTCCTTAAGGTATTTTGAGGGGAAATACTTTCTGAAATCAATCCCAACACTTACAATTTTTGTACACACTGTAGAGGTATATTAACAAAAAAGAAATTATTATATTATGAAAAAAAATATCGGTAATATAAATAAGAGCAATAAATATTATGGAAAATGAGAATATTCTAAATAGATTTTATTCTTTAGAATATTTATCTTATGTTTCTTTACTTATTTAAATTCTTTGAAGGAGCGAAGTAAAACACCCTGGTGTGAGGATTTATCATTCTTTGTAACTTTGTACATAAAAGTGAAAATTAAAGATAAAGAATTACAATAAAATCTGTGGACTACGCATTTTTACCGGGTAAAATGAATGCACCTCAATCAAAACATTCAATCAATTTACTTGTCTCTTTTCACGAAGGATTTCATTAAAAAATACAAGTTATGCCATCTAAACAAATCTCATGTATACTCGTATTGTATTTCATAAGGGGAGCATCTTAGACTGCATCAGTGTGAACGTACTACTTACTATACATTGAACTGATATTTTTTCTATCTACTGAATGATAGTATTGAAAATATAAAATGAAGAAGGTTTGACAAATGATATGAAAAATGTTTCGAAGAATATTTCATCTAAAAGAATCTTCTTATACAAATTTTAATTCTTCTTGTACAAATCTTAATTAAAGAAGACCAATCCAAACTATATATTTAACTTGGTAATTCTTATTTGCTTTATGAACATTTAATCATTCTGCAGATCCAAGTGGAGATCTTTTTTAAAGCGGAGTACACATAATAAATCTCTTTTGAAATGACAAACTTTTCTAGGATATTATAAAAAAATTATGTAGATATAACAGGTTTGGATGATTAACACAATTTTTTAAACAAGATGCTTGTCCTTCACTCTATTTTCTATATTTCTAATAGACGAAATATTTAATATTTTCAGTTCTCATCTAAGACGTTTTCTATCCATATCAAATTTATATATTTCTTTTTTCAGTCTATGTGGCGGAAACCAAGGAAGTTTTTCACTGCTCCTCTCACAAGATACATGTATAATTATGTAAGTAAATTTTAAATGTAAAAAAAACAACATCAGTTTACCATTGAATATTCATGTTTTCTGAAAAAAGAAATTATAATTTAAAATTAGAACTTTTTGGGTAGGCTTATCAGGAAGCTACTTTGAGCTAAAAACCTAGACAAGAAATGCCATTTTTTCATTGATTCATTATTTCCTACAAGCTAGAAAAAGTTCTTCTACCAGAATTAAATCATTTTAATATTCCATGATTTTACAAGTAAAAATTAAAATCTTTAATTCAGTATAAGACTTAAAATTGAGGAACAAGATAACGATATAAGACATGTATTACAAATGTGTCTCCAAATAGATTAGTCAATTTCACAAATAAATTACCTTATAATGCTTAAAATTTCATCATTTTTATAACTTGTTGAATCTTTACAAATTGTACAAAAATCAAACTTATTCTATGCACATGATATTTCAATTACATTTAGAATCGATTTGAGTCACGTGTCTTATCTTTCCGGAAATTATCACGGTACGCTTTGGAAAAAAAAGCCTGATTTCCAAAGGTCTACAATTTAACTTTCACCTTTCATTACAACATTAAGTCACCTTTCAGTTTTTAGATACCGTCGTTTTTTCCTATTACAGTGCCAATTAATACTTAAAAGCAAATATTGACAAATATTGACAAAATAATATTTTATTGTGTTTTGTAGGTTATGTTCTTCGTAATGCTGGTGTTCTACAGTGCCTTTGTACTAACCAGTATTGGGGACGAATACTACATACTGGATATAGCCAAAATGTTTGAGTATTATGTCTATTTCTGGGGAGCTGGGGACCTAATAGAAGAACTCATAAGCTGCTTTGTAAGAAAAATGTTGTCTATATATTTCTATCTCCAAATACTTTAAATGGTAAGACTTTATAAACATAAACGCTATTGAAACAAAACAGCTGAGATCTCAAAATAAAATATCCTACATGTATTATTTAACGTATACATGTATAAGTTTACCACATTGTTGAATAAGACGGATTTTGAAATTTTCGACTGATAATATATTTATTGCTTTCTTTAAAACATTTTTGAAATATTTAATTTTTTTCAACCTCATTAGAATTAATTTGATATATTTTGATTTAATTACACATTGGACAATCATGACAATGAACCATTAGACATGAAGAATATCACACTTATCTCTTCCCTGGTATCAGCCCGGAGGGCGAGGACCGAGACCATCTTAGGGCTGATCGGAACAAATAAACATTAAAATATAATTAAGCATGAATCCTGAAATTATTTATTCATGCTAGAATATTGGGAAATCATTTTTTAAGAAGGTATGCGCCAAAGATGATACTTGTGACATAAACGATGTTAATCTTGTTAACTGCGAACAGCAGTGCATCGAGTTTTGAAGAAATAAAGTGTAGAAAATATTTTTTTTACACTAATATTAATTGCCATTGAGTACCCTTCCCCTCTAAAAAGATTTTTTTCCATTTCTCTTTGCGCATTTTTAGCTCACCAGAGCCGAAGCTCGCAGGTATGTTAAGGAATCATGTAAGTCATTTTTCGGGAAATTTAGACTTTTTAAAGAAAATTAAGTTTGATAATTTACCAAAACCGCTGAAAAACGTAAACTATTATTATTTATTGCATAAAGATAAAAAAAAAAGTGTCTAACGCAACGACGTGCACCACCACAACGACATCACGGGACTTCTATCAATAGCGAAAATTTCCTTTAAAAAAAGCTAACAGAACAACAATACCCCGGAGTTTAATAATTTCTTTCAGTAAATAATGTAGTTGAAAAATATCTATTTTGCCTTAAAAGTGCTGCTAGGATCCCACTGTCCCGTCAGTGAAATAATTATTCCACACATTCGAACGAAACCTTACACGATGTTTTGAATTTTGTACATATGAACCGAGATTTTACGTAAAACCATGCTTAACTCGGGATTCTAGCAACACTTTCCAAGTATTTCAGAAGACAAACTTTCAATCTATACAAATCTTATGTTTTGAAATATACAGCTTATTGTTGTTCTGTTGCATTATTTTGGTCACAATTGACAGAGGAAAAGCCAACGGGAACTTCACAAAATATTCACGATATTTGCTTTTAAACTCCATTTTACGTAACTTTGTACATGCCGTCTTAGCCAAATTCTCTTTACACGATATGATCGATTCCAAAGTTACTTGATGTACAGCTGTGACGTCATCGGTGTTAGATTTTAATCAAAATGACAGAATACAGCATAACAAAATAAGAAAATTTCATTTTTGTTAATGTTTACACGTTTCTATGCATTTTCTAGAGTTAAGTTACATCTCTAAATACCAATATTACGAAAACTCGTGCTCTAGAATTGACGTCATCTCGCTTACTATGACGTTAAATGTAGCACTGATTTAGTCAAGGTAGTATATTTTGTATGCTTCCTTATTCCCCGTGCGAGTCTCAAATGAGCTTTTCTGATCAAAATTTGTCCGTTATCTGTCGTTGTTGTAAACTCTTTCACATTTTCATCTTCTTCTCAAGAACCACTGAGCCAAATTTAACCAAACTTGAGACAAAGTATCGTTGACTAAAGGGGATTTAAGTCTGTTCAAATGAAGGGCTGCGCCCTACTCCAAGGTGAGATAATTGTGAATTAGTAAAAAAATTAATGGAATCTTTTGAAAATCTTCTTCTCAAGAACCATTGAGCCAGGAAAGATTTAACTCATGTGGAAGCATCCTCAGGTAGAGTAGATTTAGGTTTGTTCAAATCATGACACCCGGGGATAGGGATGGGCCTAAATGGGGTATCAAAGTTTAACAAAGGAATAAAAAGAAAAAATCTTTAAAAATCTTCTTCTCAAGATCCACTGGCACAGGAAAGCTGAAACTCATGCGGAAGAATCAAATAAAGAATAGGAATACATGATAAAAATCTTTTTTCTCAAGAACAGCAAACTCATGAATGGTCAATATTTTAAAGAAGCATTCTCTGTTAATGTAGATTTATTTTTGTTCCAATCATGAACCCCGTAAAATGGGGGCACATTGTGGGATCAAAATTTTAGATAGGAATACATAGGAAAAATCTTTTCAGTAACAGCAAAGGAATGGTTGATCATAGTTATATGGATGTATCCTCTTGTAGTGTTGATTCAAGTTTGTTCAAATTATGACCCCGGGGCAAGGGTGGGGCCAAAATGGATGATTATAGTAGAATTGCATAGAAAAAAAAAATCTTTAAAATTCTTCAGCAAAGCCACAATTGGTCAAAGTTGTATAGAAACATCATCTGGTGGTGTAGATTCAATTTTTTTTCCTAACCCTAACACAAAGTGTTGGTCATATTTATATGGAAGCAAGCTCCGGTATTGTAGATTTAAGATTTTTCCTAACCCTAACACAAAGTATCAAGTCTGAGTATGTTGTCATTTGGACACTTTTAATTAACAGTCAAAAAAGATTTTGTCCTGAAGATTCTGTTAAGATAGAGCACAATAAGAGTTACACATTCTTTTTTTTCCTTTCAAGTTTTAAAATGGAAAAAAGGGATTTTTGCCAAATTAAACCAATAATATAAAAGTACATGTAATATGTGCCTACAATTTTGTACCCAGTCATACGTTTATGTTTTGAATCAAATTTAATTTAGCCTATTATATCCTTACTTCTAATATATTTCTTCTAAACGTGCAAAGAATAAACACAATTTGAAATTCTTTCTTCCTAGGGTTGTTTGGAATCAAGAGGTCGTTCTCACCGTGGTTATTACGCAAGACTTAAGAGATACCTCTACGACTTTTGGAATTTGGTGGATCTCCTTTCCTATGCTTTACTGATTACAGCATTGTGTGTCCGCCATTTTCACCCATCCACCAATTTTACTATTGCAAGGAGAATGTTTTCGCTGTCCCTTCTTGTTATGTACCTGAGGTTTCTTGAAGTCTTTTTAGTGCACAGAAAAATGGGACCCACCCTGATCATGATTAAGGAAATGGTAATATTATTTTTGTTCATTTGCTTAATCCAAAAAAAATCTTGTTCTTTTTGAAAATAACATTAATCACTTTTTAACGAAAAATGATTCTTTAACCTTTGACTGTTATACACATAAACCATCTGATTTTATCATGTACGTGTATTTAAAACAGAAGGAACAGGAAAATTATATGAAACAAAACATTCTATCAATAAGTTCAATGAAATATTTATTATTCATCAATTTCATTTTGCAAGTATTCATAAATTGTCCTCTGGTCCCTTGAAAAAAAATTATATTGATTAACTCTAGAAAATATTTCAATGTTCAAATTTCGTACGTTTTCGAGATAAAACCATAAGTGCAATGTATCTCTTCCTTTTCTGTTTGAATAATGTTATAAAATAAAATTTGAACATACCAATTATATACTATTCAAAACTCGATTTTAATGGATTAACAAGGACAATGAAATACATACCAAGTGTCCAATCGCATCATCTCGGGTCTTTCCGTCAGAGGTCGGAAAACAACCTCGAATGTATTAACTTCACCGGATGTTAAAAATTTATACATCTTCCTGTTTATTCAAATATAGGATAGACGGATTTTGAAGTCCCTTCCATAGTATATTCGAAGTAATATCATTGCATTGTATGAAGTTAAACTCCATATTCCACAGATGAAAGGTCTCTATGCATTTATTTCAAAGATTGTGAAAAGGGGGAGTTGTAATGGCGTCTTCCTAGTACATTCGAGGTCGTTTTTCCGCTAGTCGGAAAGGCCCGAGAAGTTGCGATTGACCAAGTGTCAAGTGGTCAAGAAGGAAAGTAATGACAAAAATATTACGAATATCAATTTATTAGAAACCCTGTCTGAAGTCAGAAAAAAGACTTTTTCCACAATAAGATTTGACACCAACTTAGGTTCAAAAAGCGAAGTAACCACCAATTTGAAACAGATTCACTAGCAGGTAAGCCCCCTCGGTTGGCTTGGACAGAAAAGCTCGGATTCGGTTTGACTTGATCCTAACAATGCATCATTAGTCATTTTGGGGATGGTTTTGCCATTCCCGTTGCAATGCTGCAGCATTTTTATGGAAATTTCCATATGTCAATAGAAATTTGTTGCTGTTTGCGTAGCCGCTCTCCAAGCTTCTCCCAGATATGTTCGATGGGGAGAGGTCTGGATTTAGTGTGGGCGAAGAAAATGTGGTGATATTCTGCTGTTGGAGATAATCTGTTCAATCTGGACCCTTTGATATCTGGCATTGTCATCATGAAAAATGAAACGGTGACAATAACCACGTGCATGGGACACAACTAGGGGCGCCATGATTGATTACTGCCCTGTGACACGTAAAAGGACAGCATGCACATCTGTTCTGTCGATAGCATTGATATCTCCCCACATCATTACAGATCCAAACCCATAACGATCATGCCAAAATGATATTTACGTCATAGAAATGTTCATTAATCGGCACAAAACCTTTCTGCGTCTGTCCAGGAAAACCACACTGAACGTCGACCAATCTGAAAAAATATAAGTTGCTTCCATCCGCGATTATCCCGGCGTTGATGGTGCTAACCACATCTTTTTAGCTCACCTGAGCCAAAGGCTCAAGTGAGCTTTTCTGATCAAAATTTGTCCGTTTCTGTCGTTGTCGTTGTTGTAAACTTTTCATATTTTCATCTTCTTCTCAAGTACCACTTGGCCAATTTCAACCAAACATGCAACAAAGTATCCTTGGGTAAAGGGGATTCAAGTTTGTACAAATGAAGGGCCACGTCCTTTTCCAAGGGCAGATAATTATGAATTAGAGAAAAATTAATGACATTTTAAAAAAATCTTCTTCTCAAGAACCTTCTCAAGAACCACTGGGCCAGGAAAGATGTGGAATCATCCTCATGTAGTATAGATTCAAATTTATTCAAATCATGACCCCCAGGGGTAGGGTGGCGCCAAAATGGCCGATCAAAGTTTTACATAGGAATATATAGGAAAAATCTTTAAAAATCTTCTTCTCAAGAACCACTGGGCCAGGAAAGATGAAACTCATGTGGAATCATTCCTAGGTAGTGTAGATTTAAGTTTGTTCAAATCATGACCCCAAGGGGTAGGTTGGGGCCAAATGGCCGATCAAAGTTTTACATAGGAATATAGGAAAAATCTTCTTCTTAAGAACCATTGAGACAGGAAAGATGAAACTCCAGTGGAATCATCCCTAGGTAGTGTAGATTTAAGTTTGTTCAAATCATGACCCCCGGGGATAGGGTGGAGCCAAATGGCCGATCAAAGTTTTACATAGGAATATGTAGGGAAACCTTTTAGTATCTTCTTTTCAAGTACTTCAAAGCCATACTTAGTGATATTTATAGGGAATCATCCCCGGGTAGTGTAGATTCTAGTTTGTTCAAATCATGACCCCCTGGGGAGTTAAAATTCAACCCCCCCCCAGTAAACTTTCAGTTCTGATTTGATATGTTCTATTTCCTAGCCAATTGCTCAGGTGAGCGATGTGGCCCTTGGGCCTCTTGTTTTGAGTCGGGTCCTAGTTTGACGATCCCGCGAAAAGGAAATAACACGAAGATGAAAGGCGTGTAAGTGAAATTGACATCTGCATTTTTGTTTCCAAAAGATTTCTCAGAACAATAGTGCAGATTAATTTGTCCTGAGTCTGAGTTGTTGACCTTGGTCGACTGGATCGTGGTCGATCCTGAACAGACCTTGTAGCAAGATGTCTGGACCATAATTAGCTGATAACAGACTAAGAAACATTTATTGCCCTTGCCACGGCGAGCTGTCTTGTGCCAATCTGTAGCATGTCAAGGGCGGGCAACCTCTCATCCTGTGATAGACGGTGCATAATATCTGTTTAATTAACGACTTCGATAACTGAAAATCTGATGGTTTCTCTTCAGAATCTTTCTTTAGTGGCTTCAACCTGGGATTTCAAATTTGTTGCACAACAAACTTAATCATCAGTAGCAACCCGTGCAAATCGTGGAAGTATAATCGGTGGGTTTAGAAGATGAATTTCTTCCGAAATGCTTCCTTGTTAACGAACTATACAATATGTTTTCGTATCCCTTTGATTATGTAAAGAAATTGATCACAAACTTCATCATTCCCTGGCTCTACATTGGAAGTACTTCCATTTTAAATTATTCAAAAAATAGAATTATGGAAAGGCGTAAAAATAATTTCTAAATTCCTAAAAAAATTTAAAGGTTTTTTTTTCAAAACTCAACGGTATAAATTGAATGTGTTGATAACGTCGATCGCTAAATGAAGTCACTATGAAAGTACGTAGATCGCTTATGACTGAACAATCAATTTATGGTCACAAGATGAACGTGTTTTACAGAGATATAAAAACGCCTTGTTCAAATAGTGATGTATAAGGAAAACATTGCAAATGTTAATATTTATATTTTTAAATTATGTATAATGTTAAAATTTTCATTCTTGTCACTATGCATCATCAGAGTTTTTTCCCTTTACAAGGCACCGCATATACTGTATTTAGATATTGAAAAGTATAAACTTAGATTTTTAAACATATTTATTTTACTTTTGGATTCATAAATCTAGTATTTTTTCATGTGTTGAATAAAGAATTTGATCTGAAGCAATTTGTCTTAAAAATATTTTCAGTTGAAGGATCTTCTCTACTTTCTTGGCCTAGCGGTGTTTGTAGTACTTGGTGTTGGAATGTACTACCACGCTAACTTATGGCCGGATCACCCGACTATCTGGAGTGGAAATTGGGTCAATTGGAGAATTTGGACGATTATCTATTATCCTTACTGGCAGTTATACGGAGAGATCAACAACGAGTTCTTAGAAGGTATTGCAAGTGTTCTTAAATGAAACTGTGAAAAAAAAACCCATTAAATTGTTGACCAAAATTTCGTATATTTATAGTTATTCAAATCCTTATTTTAATTTCATCGTTACAAAACCAGTTTTATAATATTTCTTTTAATAAAAGACGACATGGGTTAAATTATTTTCATGTATAACAACTGTATAACAATTTCTTTTCTCACCTCAGCTTTAAGTCTTATTGGGTTTTTCTTATCACCTGTTGTCCATGGTTTGTCTACCCGTCCGTTCCTCCGTATGAAAATTACGCGGATGTTTTCTCACTTGTAAAACTAACATAAAATATATCATATATAAAAAAAGTTCTATTTCATTTTCCCGGAAAAAAGTGGCGCAATACAGTACCTTAGTAGTATAAAATGAGGTTTTATTTTTTATTGTCGTGGAAGAAATATTTAAACAGAGCAGATTTTAATTAAAATCTTTGACTCTGGGATAAGGGTTGAAAAACAATAACGATTGTGAAAAATAAAATCTTCATATCACAAGCAAGGCCATATCAAACAAATTATAGTGAGGAATCGTCATACTGAAAAGGCACGAATGGCATTTTTTACCTAGATTGCAGCTACAGTATAGATAAAATCTTTTGATCGGGAATGAGAAAGAAACAATGTTATTTAAACATCATGTTAGGCTTAAGGCCTCTCGTATCTAAAATTTATTTCATGCAGGACAGGAACTCGACAGTTGTACTCAGAATGAAACCATTTGGAAAGCAGACACGTCCCAAGACCGATGTCCCCAGGAAGACTGGACGGTAATTGCTGTAGCAGGATTCTACATGTTGTTCTCCAACCTTCTCCTGGTGAATCTAGTTATCGCCATGTTTAGGTATTTCTTTTTGCAATCTCTTCTTTTTCCTGTGCTTCCTTCGTTCTACGCTTAAATAATTTTCTACAAAATATTAACAACAAAGTTTCTTCTTTTAGTTACACATTTGAAAGGGTTCAGGAAAATGCCGAAAAACTCTGGAGATTTCACCGATGTACGGTCATCAGTGACTATGAGTGGAGAATTCCATCTCCTATTAATATCATCTTTCTTCCTTATCGAATCTGTTGCTGTCCTGGAAGAAAAGGGGGACTTAGAAACAGGCTTAAAGGTAACCAAGGTGTCGCTCATAATTTTACTTGTTTATTTTTTTATTTGCTTACCAAAAGAAATTTATTACTCGATTTCTTTCTTTAAGGATGCTGCAATAAAAAGGAATATGAAGAAGAAAAGAAAAAAGAATTGAAGAGAAAAGAATATAGAAAACATCTCCAAAGAAATATGGCTTTTAAAATATTTAATAAAATGTAAAAAGAATTGAAATGGGAAAAAAATATTGTATGCAGTTAAATTATTTTTTGTGGTGAAATATAAAAGAGACATTTTTAAAAATATATATATTTTTTTTGGTGATGAGCGTTTTCTCTGTCCTGAATTCTAATTTCTGATTTTTTCTGTGTGTTATCTTCATATTTTCGCCTTTACAGTTTTTACATTCATTTTATGCATATTTTAATCATTAACTTATTCATTGATTTGGTGATGCACATATTTCCACTTAAATATATTTTCATAAAATTAAAAAAAAATTCCTGTCAAGATCTAGATAAAAGTTTTTTTTTTTTTGTAAAAAAGTAAATGAAATACATTAAACATTTGTTTTCGATTTATTTAAGCAGTACTATATGTAATTCGCGTTTTGGAAAATTTAAAATTGGTCTATTCCGGCCAAGTCCCGAAAATTTTTTTTTAAAGAAAACATAAAACATCGAATATTTAAATCTAAAAAAAGTAGCTCAAACATTTTGAGAAAAGTGGCACTCATGCATCTGTGTTAGTTTTCATTTATTATTTCTTTACTTTTTCTTAAAGTTTATAAAAAAAGAAATGTTGTTTTGTTTCTTATCTATCAGTGCACCATGTTCTGATGTTTAGCATCTAGATATCAACATCTGTTATATTGCCATTATTGCCGTCTTCCTTGGAAGACGGTATTACATAGTTGAAGTTTTTTACAGTCTTCGGACTATGCACTTCCTCTCTTTTGTGATTGGTAGAAATTGCATGATGAGGAAATGTTCAATTATTTCATTGGTTGAAATGCTGTTCATGGCAAGGGAGATAACTTTCTGTTGATCTAATTTTCGTACGACTTAACAATTTTGCAAGATTTTCAATCTTAAAAAAATGACAAAACGAACAACAGAACCAGCGGTAGTTAATTCTAAATAACATGATATTTTTTGTAGCAATAACCAAAAAGGTATCTTTAATTTTATTCGAAATAAAATTTGATTTTTATTGCTTTAAGGCTTTACAATTTCTTTTTATTCTTTTCCCCTTTCGTGTTTGAAGAAGATAAAAGATCAGCCGAGGTTTGCCGAAAGATCTCGGCAAGTTTACGGAAATGACCGAGCAACAACCGTGGTAAGGCTAATGCCAGTAAAAATCTAATTGTAGAAATACAAAATCAAGAATAAGTCAGAATAATAAGGTGTGATAGGTATAAATAAGTTTACTGTTTAAGTTTGTTGCTAAAGACGGTAAGCTTTTTTTAAAAAGCTCTACTTGTTTATACATGTAAGTAAGGTAGGTATTTAACAAAGATAAAATACAAAGAAAACAATTTGTTATATTCTGGGACACCTGAATAGCCAAAAATTGGCTTAATTAGTTGAACTTTTTTTTTCAAGACTTTGCAGAAGTCTATTTTGGAAAGATAAGTAAAATAGATAAAACGAATTAAAAAAAAGGAAAGAAAGTTTTATTACTTAGGAAAATTTCCTGTTTCCCTTTATCGGAACTTATAAAGCAGGTATTATTCATAGCCTTACACGTATTCATGAGAGGAAAACACTTACTGTGGCCTTTAATTCGACATTTAGAAACAATGATGATAAAAAAATCATTTAACAAAAGTAAAAACCTTTCAAATGTCTGTTAGATTAATACAGTGATCTGGAAATAAAAGATAACACAGAGAATGGCCTATCTGTTTTATATTTTAATGCAAAAAGATGTTGATGGGGGGACAAGTTACGTATAACTACAAAAGAAATCATAATTTAACAAACAACTAATATGCTTTTACCTACAATTAATAAACAATAAGTATACTTTTTTATCGATTTACATCGATTTCTCCCCTTACTTTTAAAGCAACATACATTTATTGCTTTCAATAGGTTTATGTCTCACAAATGATTGTTTATTCAAGACATGCTCAACGAATGGATAGACTTTTAACAAGTAAAATCATTGATTTACGAGTTGATTAAACAAGAATAACAATACACTTTTTGAAATACATGTAGTAACAAGTTCAAAGTCTTTGGTTTAAAGCTGAACACGACTCGTAAATACGCATACGCTATTTTTGATATCATTATACGATACATCAACTTTAGGGTTTACTCGTCGCATTCGATCCACCTGACTGTTTATTGTCACGGGTATCAGCGTGAAATGGCGACCCGTGTTCGTACTGGTTACCTTGCATTACCTTTGTTTACATTTTATTGCAGTTATGTGTATCTGTGTTATTTGTATACAGCACTGACCTATACAACTATAATTGTAAATTTATTTGGTATCTTACTTTCCTGAATAAGTCGAAGTATTACGTGTTTATTCCCGCTACCGAGTCCTGTTTAGCATATGTCAGTCTACACCGGTGTCGACTGATTACACTGAACAGTGACAAAGTCCTGCCCTTTATATACGGGTTTGCAGAGTAGCGAGAATCGGGAACAAAAATGGCGGACTCACTACTTTAACGAAGCGTGTTCAGCTTTAAACAATGAGCCTGACACCAAATACAAACGGTTTGTTTTTTTTTCTTTGTCTTGTCATGACAAGGAATCCCGAGATGTGTTCGGTCAGTTCCTCCATGACATCTGATCCCATTTCTAATGGGTTAAGGTAAACTGGAGTAATTTCGACCAATTTTGCTGACATGTGACATTTAATCTCCAAAACTTGACCTTCAGGTCAGGTTCTGATCTGATCATAATTTGTGTTGTTGAAATAGACTTTTGAGTATGATCACTGTTTATTATCTTTATATATCATTTCTATGAGAACATGAGTGTGTGATCCAATTTTATAAGACATTATATCCATTCCATAATGAGAAACTTTTCATTATTTACATAACTGAAAAATATTTAAACCCGCAAAACGAATAAGAACATTGATATAAATAAGCAACTATCTAATTTTCAGGACATAATTATATTGTTCAAACAATTCATGTTTTGCAATGTAAGATGATAGTAGGCTTTACTGATTTAATCGTGCTTAGGCGTGCGATACGAACTGTATCTTTTTCATTGGTCATTTTTTCTATACAAAACTTTATGTATCGAAAGAAGAAATTAATTTATGAAAAATACATTAAATATTTTATTTACTTTAAATGTTCTTTACTTGTTTATAACATTATGTATTGGATACTCATTCCACTTAATCTTGCAAAAACCTTAGCAGTATACCATAAACACGATTTCTGAAGCCCAAATTAACATTCCATGAAATCCTAAACAAGCAATTTTATCAATGCACTTTGTTGAGACGTGGGTTATACACTTAAAGAACTTGAATAAATGAAGGAAACAAAACAAATGCAATTTCATAAACAAAACAAAAGTAAATTTTTTACAACATAAATTTTTTTAAAAAATAATATAAAATTGAAATGTCTATCAGCAGCATTTCCTGGAGAGTGTCCTTTAAAATGAAATGAATTCATTACACCACCCTTTCTGAAGTTTTGAGTTCTGGTTTTGAATTCCCTCTTGTAAACCTATTTTTCTTTCACAAATCAAATTGAAAATAATTTCACAAATAACACATATTTGAGTGTTTTTAAACTTTCACAATGCCGTCTGGATTAACTTTGGATTGAATTAATATTATTTCAAAAAGGTGAATTCTTAATTCAATATCACCACATAACTGGCAATTGCTGGTCCCGATGTGTCCGTCAGGGCTGCTGTACTCTGGCGTAATCTCTCACACATTTGCGATTGAAACTGCATAAACCAATACAAGCCCCTCCCTCTGACCTTGGACTGGCTATTGGCAATGTAATTAGATGTAGTACCCCGCCCAAGACCTGATAATTACGAAACGGGACAATAGCCCGAGGAAATAAGACCCTGGGGAAAAATATAATAAAACAACCATACTAAACGTGTAGACTCTAAACAAGAAAACATATTTTACAAATTGTAGTTTCAAATAACGGATGTAGTTTGAGTACACGCCCCGGCTACTTCAACACAACAAGCCAAACAGGTCTTATCTTGGCTGTTACTTCCCGGGTACTACCCGAACACGAGCTCTCAGGCAGATAAAATTACAAATCGAGGGGCTCCCCACAGGATAAAGACAATATTTAAATTTACATAATAGGGGTATCTTAAGGGATTAAATTTAGTTTGTTAAACACTTGAACAAAATTTACGCCAAGCTTAGTATGTGACTGTCGATTATGCGTAAACATCGTTAATTTAGCTTAACAAAACTGCTACATTATCTTCACATATTTAAAAAGTAAAAAAAAAATCGATTTCCTTTGCTGGACAGTGATTGATTGATTGATTGTATATTGTTTAACGTCCCTCTCGAGAATTTTTTACTCATATGGAGACGCCACCACTTGCCGGTGGAGAGCTGCAAATTTTGTCCTATACTCGGCACTCAGGGCCATTGAGCAGGGAGGGATCTTTTTCGTGCCAGCACCTACTGCGACACGGGACCTCGGTTTATACGGTCTCATCCGAAGGACCGGTCTCCACGTCCCACAGTGGGATTCGAACCCGCGACGTAAGGTGACTCCTTACTTCGCGACTCTAGAACAGACGCTCTAACCACTGCGCCACGCGGGCGACTTACTCGACAGGGAATCCAACAAATAAATCATACATTCATTCTGCATAACTAAGAAGTCTTATTTTGTTTTCAAAAAAATCTCTTAATATTTTGCGTATTTTGTGATTTTGTTACATATCGATAAAGAAAAAAAAATGTCAATAATATATTTTTATTTTGACATTTGCTAAACAGAAAGTACGATTCGACGAACTGCACGATCGATAATTTAAATATCTCCTCAGCACATTAAAGCAATTCTTTTCATATTTCCAAAAAATCGTTTAAATCGCCCTAAGTACGCGATGACTTGGGTAAATGCTTTTCACTATAATGAATGACGATATCTTTTGATCTGTTTAAATGACAGGTTAAAATTTGACATTAGAGACCATTTTTAACGCAGTTGAAAAGTGTCCTTGAAATTAATTTCATTTTATTTCGAAGTTTTGAAAGAGAATACAACATATTTCCTTATATTTTTGATCTTTGTGAAAGATAAATATAAAGACAGTTTTCGGAGGATATTGGATTTGTTTTGGTGGAGGATAGTGTCGATATTTCAGTTCGGGATTAAATAGAACAATGTTGGAGGTGAACTCATTCACTGGGAGGCGAGATGGAGAGGTATTTTTTTCTTTTCTTTACAGCAAAATATTAGTTTTATCAAGTTTATGTTTCTATTTCGAAATTTAAAGAAAAAAAACTTCTAATAGGTAAATAATAAATATCTTGTAGTTAATATTTTTTTCTTATACACACAAGAAAACAAATTTAAGCAAGAAGTGGATATAGATAGCCTAGATTAAAAAAATTAACGAAATTTGATAGAAGAAAAAATATCAATTATTTTAATGAAAGAGGGAATATTTTATTGTTATTTTATTTCATTTATAGATTTTGTATATAACTGTTTTCTCAATTTAATTTCTTCGTTTGAGGTACACAAAGTACAGAGAACATGGGAAAACATCAGAGAAAATGTGGACAGTACGCCTACCATGGTGTTTTCAGTGATCGGGGATTCAGACAGCTTCGTCCCTAAACCTTGGGCTAAAACTGTATTTCAAACCGCTCTAATTGAAGCGGCTAAAAGCGGCGGAGGTAATAATGTTCAAAAGGTGTAAAACAATATTTTTATTATTTGCGGGGAATGTTTTGTGGATAAACTGCTTTAAATGGTTGTTTTATTAAAATTAATCCTATGATTTTCGAAAAGGTTATTTCTATATGAGAGAAAGCTATAATAATCAACATAGCGTAGATGCAGCGCGTTAACCGGTTTTGTAAAACTTAGATCCTAAATTTAACAGTGAAATACACACATAAATTTTAAAGGGATGTGAACTGCTAAACGAATAATATTTTCTATTTCCTTAATTGAGCCTTGTGCTCAAGTAATATCTATGAATATTCAAATGCATCGATAAATGCGCGTTTGCTTAAATTATTCATATGTACATAACCAAGCATGATAAAAAAATGTTGAAGAAATATTCTTTAAAGATATGGGGGAAAACATTAAAATTATATTGTTACTTTACAGGAATGCATAAAACACATGCAATGTAACAGTCTTTTGATGCTTAAATAGGGAATGTATGTTCATGTGTATGTAGAAGTGTTATTAGCTTAAATTTGCAAGCAGGTTTAAATTGAAAATTTTATGAAATTGTTAAAAATTAAAAGATTTTTAAATTGGTGAATGAACACATTACCTATTATAAAGTATGAATGCCTACATAGATGTTCACGTGGCAAAATCATTTCTAATGGAAATATCACGATTCATACGTTTAACTTTTGAAATCGCTTATATATGTGTACAAAGTATGTGAGAGATCGATTGGAAACAAGTGCGTGCTGATTTATTGTGCAGTTCCTTTATATTTTTTGTTTGTCCTTGCGCAATAAATCCTGGGACAGCCTAAACTAAGTGTTTAAAAAAACTCAATTTTTAAATGCCTCAATACATGAAGCCCAATGTATTGTACTTTTCATCATCTTATTTCCAAGGATCTGTTTAGAAAATTAAATAATTATTGTCCCTTTATCATTTTACAAACTGGTGATAATTTTTGATATGTTTTGTCCTAACTGTAAACCAACTATTATTTGCTTCATCTTTTAATCGTGATTCGTCAGTTTAAAATCAACCAGCGACGATTAATTTCCGCGGCTGAGGAAACATTCTCTACAAATCCTTAGCAAAATGAATGGTTCGCGGCGATTAATATTCGCAAGTTAAAGGAGGTCGCGGAACTCGCGGATATTTCTCGCACGCGAATAAAAATTGGTTTGCAGTATAAGAACAGCACTTTCAAACAAAATCTATATAGTATCGTTATAAAATGTAGACTTTCAAGTGAGAATTTCAAATGCCAAGGCCTTGTGTTACAATAGACTTTGACATTATAATGATTCCTCTCTGTTTAATATCCCTGAGTGCCGATTAAAGTTGGGATTTAAAAGGTTTTTGCTCCTGACGTCACTATATTTGAGAAACATTTTTAATTGAGACGTAGGACAACAAACATAGAACCATAGCTTGCTAACGTTTGATAGCTACGTAGGATTAAAATACAATCATCATATCTTTAATATTATTTAAATATACATCGATGCTTAAAAATCTTCATCAAGTGCCAAAACATTAATTTGGGACCTGTCGACAAAACATTTGACCTCTATATGGCCCTTTTACATCACAGTGTATGCCGAATAAATAACCTCAAACATCAATGACAGCGCAAGATATATCCAAAAGATATTACAAAGCATTTCTTGACTTTTCCTTGGGGGATACGTTTCATCATACCCTAAAAATAAAAAAAGAATGCCTTATGCCTAATAGGATCATTAAAGATACTTAGTATATACATGTTGCTCTTGAACCCAGTCAAAAAATATGCAATGTACCCTAGTAGTGTTTTTTTTTTCTTTACAGATAAAATAACTCTTTTATAAAAATTTTCACAGAGTCCTGGATTCTTTACCGGGGCCATAGCTACGGTGTGTCTGATATCATACGTGAAGCCTACAGAAACTATGGAGATATGGAGTTTGGAACAGACAGCAAGAGGGTAGATCGGAAAGACAAAAGGCGGCACATCAAACTAATAAGCATTGCTGGAAAAGAGGTTTGCATTAACTTACCTGTATAATCTTATTTATATGTTTACATTACTTCATATGAATCTTTCAATTTTATACATGTAAATGGTTAAATATTAATTCTGCATCAGAAATGTAACACTTTATATTAATACATCCCATCAGTTTTGATTCCATTTCTTAAAAAATTATTTTATGCAGAGTACATGTTGGAGAAAGGGAATAAATTTTAAAGTAATACCTACATATGAATATCACAGATAATGAAGTAGGCATAGAAGTACCTTAAACAATTCTTAAGTTCAAGTTACACAATTCAATACAATTTACAATATGTGAAGTTGGACCTGTTTTTTCGGGGGTGTGAGCATCACCTGTCGACTGTTCTTACTGTTGTTAGGATAAGTGTATTAATACTTCACTTCAATGCTAAATCTTAAAAGAGAACATTTAAAATATACTAATTAAAATTTACTTAACATATCCTATAACCATTGAATCAGCAACATGTCTAAGACTAATAATACGTGTAATTTTTCACCAAACACATTTTTTTCTTAGATTAAAATAATTTATTGTAAGATGAAATGTTCTAATATTGTACGTACGTACATTTTACATTAAACCGCGTGTAAAGTATCATGATGCATGTTGATTATGTGGCTAACATATCTTTTAATCATATGTAGAAGATTACATACATAAAAAGCTGGTTTTCTGTTGAAATGTCATAAAAATGTACATATTTTTTGTCATATGTAAAACAATTTCCATACAAAGTGCTGGTTTTCTCCTTAAATAACTTTGAAATGTATGATAACATGTGAAAGATTGCTCATATTCATCTCCAGTTTTCTGCTAACAAAACTTTCAAAAAAGGTTCAACTATAGTTGTAATTTCACTTGTGTTTATTCCAGTCTCCTGACGGAATGCAGGAATTAGAGGCAGAGGACAAAACACCGGAGTATGGAATCAATTTTGGCGCCGAGGAGGATTTCCTTATGGAGTTTGAGAAATACGTTTCAGAGCAAGAAGTATCATTCTTCAGCCAAAAAATTGACTTCAGTAAATAATTATTTATAAAGTTGTAAATAGTGTTTACATGTAATCAAATATCAGGATTTGATGTATGAAACTATAACTATTTCAAATATTTCATATGGCCGATTATTTTTTCAAGAGATGCCTGTTCCTATTGCAATCCTAGTTTGCGAAGGTGACATTGAGACTATTGCACATACAGCAGGGGCACTGGAAAACAAACTGCCTGTCATCATAATGAAAGGATCGGGGAAAGCGGCCGATTTAATTTTAGATTATCTAGAGAAGTAATTATGAAAAACTTAATATTTAAGAAAAAATCAGTGCTTCTTATAAAGAAATTAGCTATATTGTTAATAAATTCAAATGCCTAATACATTTTTTTTGAAATTTCAAATACATACATTTGAATAAACTTATTTAAGAATTAATTAAAAAAAAAAAAGAAATCCGTAATTTTGAATGATTTCCATATCTTAAATATAAGTTAAATAAGTACATATAGAACTATATACGAAAATTGCTTCAGCTGTTGAAGAAAGAGCTTTAAAAGACTGCAGATTTTTATGCACAATAAAGAGTTGATACTACTTAAAGTTATGTGCTTTAAATGCCTGATCTGGATATGTTATCAAATGTTAAAATGTACGTGTATCAATGTGAATGACATACAGTTTGTTGTAGATTAAACTTTTTTTGAAATATACATTAAGATACATACATGTTAAACTTTCTAGCACATAGCTTTTATTTTTTGTAGCAATGATTTATTGAGAAAGAAAGCCAGTTTATTATTTGGGATACGCTTCGACAGCAACAATTACGAAAAATTGAAAAACTACCTTGACACGATCAAAAAAAAGGAAGATTTGGTAAGTTTTTTTTATTTCTTTATTAATGAATTTAAAATCAATTTAAGTTCTCAGTGCTCAGTATTTCTACCACCTTAAGATTTACTGTATATTACGCTTTCTTTCTATGAATAACAGTAGTTTTATTTAAGGGACACGGTATCAAAGCTTTGATAAATTTTAATGTAATTATATCCTTGTACACATGTATTGACAGTTTTTGTTGAGATAACTCAAACTACAAATGTGAAATACAATTCTCCGTCGACATGATAAAATATAAATTAAAATTTAATTGGAATTTTTGACACGGATTAAGTATCAAATGGTACAAGAGATGCCTAAATTTGCATGGTTTCTTTTCTTTAAATAATTCGTTTCTATTATAACTGACTCTTTACTTTTGTCCTTTTCCATTATAATAGATAGGTGTGTTTGATGTGAACACTGACGATCCTCTGATGCTTTCTAACATTGTGGGAGAAGCCGTTGTCAGCTGCTGGGCCATGGAGAAAATTCTTCATGAAGACAATCAGAGTAAAGTCAAAACTTCTGCTGCTCATATATAGTCAGATTTTAGACACATCATATTGAAATTGTCGCCCGCATGGCGCAGTGGTTAGAGCGTCCGCTCTTGAGTCACGAAGTAAGGAGTCAATTCTTACGTCGCGGGTTCGAATCCCACTGTGGACGTGGAGACCTGTCCTTCGGATGAGACCGTATAAAACGCGTTCCCGTGTCGCAGTAGGTGCTTGCAAGAAAAGACCCCTCCCTGCTAAATAGCCCTGAGTGCCGAGTATACGACAAAATGTGCAGCTCTCCACCTGCAAATGGTGGCGTATCCATATGATTGAAAAAATCTCGAGAGGGACGTTAAACAATATACACGTACATGTACTTCTAAAAGAATTAGTTGATTAACCAAACATCCATTAAATATCTATATCATGAAATAACTAAGTTTTTTATTCTTATGTAATAGCCTGATCCTAAAGACTTAGTGTATTATATATGACTATGTATTGATAATATACAAAATTTCCGAATTTGCAATTAAACTTTGCTTCCTAGGAAAAAATAAATATTTTCTTGGACGTTAAACGCCGAATAATTCAAGAATAATTTTGAGAAATAAAAAAAAAATCTTTTAAGGTCTACTTAAAAGATCTAGATTTAATTTATGACAAATACGAGTATGTACATTTATTTGCAATTTAGACATAACATAATCATTTACATGTACATTAATCAATATAGTCCTTAAATATTTGTACATGTACTGGACTCTAGATTTTAAAGTTTTATTGCAACACGCAAGATTGTACTAAATACCATAGGCAATTTTTAAAAAAATCGATATTAATAGAAAAAACCAGCTAGCTTTAGTTTGTCAGTATGTAAATGTTATAGAAGCTATTATTTTCCTTCTTCATTTCAAAACACTTCAGATCAATTTAACATGAGACCAAGAACAGCAGTACCTCATTTGCAGAAGAATGGCTTGGCTTTAACTGGATCTTCTCTGGCCTCGAAATTATTACGTAGGAACTCGGTCAGGCCAGAGGAGAATATCCTGAATCAGCTACTTGGAGAGTACAAAGAGGAATCTAGAGTTTATGTATTAAACCCAAAGTACACGTCACCTGCATCACTGCCACTGTATTTCTACTTTGGGTTCCAACTCCTACAGGAATCTGGGTTTTTTAAACAGAGCGGACATGTAAGGAAAGTTAAATGAGAATACATTAATATTATTTTAAAACGTACAGTATATGCAGCTTTAAACTCAAAAGTAATTATTTGATAACAATCAAAACAATTGAATTTTGAAAGAATGGATGGAATTTAATACCATTTTCTATATTTCCTTCTCAGATTTTATTGTTTGAAGCACTTAAAGCTAACAGGTGTGATTATGTAAGAGTTTTACTGGATCAAGGAGTAAAATTCAAATTGAACAATTTGCCAGAGTTGTATGAACAGGTAGGTGGGTGTTATACATTTACATCAGATAATTCTCTATCCTTGCAAACAGGTGCAGGCAGAATTTTTGAATGATAAATACATTTTTTTCTCCGCTTAAGTTGTAGAAAAATTACAGAGAACATAATTAGCTGTCTTGTATGTAGAATAGTTTGTAATTATTTGTTTTTGTGCTTGGTATATTTAATTCTTGTTTCTCTCTCCATTTTGTTGTTGCTTATTTAATTCAGCTAGATCATGCTATAAATGTAATCTGTTCAAGATTAACTAGCCATAGCATTTTCTGAATTTCAGACAGTTTCCTGCAAGGAAGATTGTGAACTAAAAGATGAGGATTGCCTTCACATGGAATGGATTCTAAAGGTTTTTCTTATGTAATTTTATATTTTGTAGTTTCAAGTGTGACGATCATTAATTAATATTTATTTGAAACAGGTTTAAATCTTGATAGATATGAAGAACATAGATAAATTATAATGGATGCTTACTGATCTTAATCCATTGTAATACTAATTCATTATATATTGAACAGATAAATGATATTTATTTTAAAAATATTCAAAATAAAAAATCTCCGTATTTGATAACTTACTCTAAAGGTAACTTAAAATTATATTTCTAGCAAATCCAAGAAACACATGCAAAGAGACTCTGTAATAAACACAGGTCACTCCAGCGAAAAATTAAGAAAGCAAAAGATAAACATAATGAAAAGGACAGGAAAAAATATGAGAAAAAGAGGGATAGTTTACATGATTCCGTAGCAGAGGCAGCTAAAGGATTATGTCGGAAGATACTGAGATATAAAGGTATTCTCTTATTATATATGAGAAAATTATGCAAGGCTTACAGCTAACTGGATAATAGGGAAGAAAAAGGTAACTATTTTTTATACATTATCAAGGAAAATTAGTTTGCTATTTTTCTGTTTTTTCTATTACTTCTCAGTATATAAATAAATAAATTATAACAGGTACGGAAGAGGATTCATGGGATCCAAATGAAAATGGAGATTTAAAAGATGCAAACATTTCTGATATTTTATTGTGGGCAATTTTTGCAAACAGAAGGGAATTGGCTGAAATTTGCTGGCTTAGAAGTGAAGATCATCTTTGTAAGTTGATACATGTACTTTCCAAAACTTTTTGATTTTAATTATTCCATTCAAAATTAATTTGAGAAATAAGTAAAGACCACCTTTGTAATTAATATCTAAATATTAATTTTCATAAAACCATTCATTGAAAGTTTTCATTATCCTACTATTTGCAAGTTTTTTATTATTGAATTTTATAAATTCAGTGACAGGGTTGGTATGTTCAGCTATACTACAGAAGCTGTCAGTCAAGGCTGGAAATGTTAAAGAACAGATTTTATCAAATGACCTTGCGGAACATTCCAAGTAACTATGTGGCTTAAACACCTCGACCATAATTGATAATTTTTCTCAAAAGTAACTGCGATTAAAATTAATATCAACGTAATTTTTCTTTATAAAGACATGTTAGTCTCAATGAAAAGAATTCCAAAAAATATACTAACTACATAACTCCAAGTAATAGTTTAAAAAAATCAATTTAAAGGTTGTTTGAACAACGCTGCTTAGCAATTATGGATAGAATGTACGAGGAGAACACAAAGCAAGCCATAGAGTTAATGGACGATGAGACTTCGATATGGGGAATACATTCCAGTCCTCTGACGTTCGCGTATGAGAACTTTATGTATGATGTAGTGGCTCACACCTGTTCCCAGAAAAACATGAACAAACAGTGGTACAACAACCTAGCCCCGGACTTAAAACCATTCCTAAAAGTATAACTTACTAAAAAAAAGTCTGTACATTTTATAATAAGAATAATCATATCATTTTTGAAATTAAAATAAAAAATCTTAAATAAAAATTATTTTATCTGTTTAAGTCTGCTTTTCGGAGACCAAGGAAGTTCTTCACTGCTCCTCTGACGAAATATGTTTATAATTATGTAAGTGAATAAATATATATATATATAGTTTGAAATATCTAATTTTAAAATGGTAAAAGTTCAAAACTTGTCATTTTCTCGATATTTATAACGACGAAATGTTGATTAATATTTTAATGCAAATTCAAGTTCAATTTAACCCTTTAAGTTGATTTATAAACGTAAGAGATGATTCGCTGACAACAAAGTTTGAACAATTGCATGTCATTCCAAAAAATGTGTTTCTCAATGCATAAATATAGTTTATTTAATTTATCTTGAAGATAATGTTTTTCACCATGTTGGTGATGTACAGCGCCTTTGTTCTGACCAGCATAAGTACCAAGTATTACGTACAAGATAAAGCCAGGGTGTTTGAATATTACGTGTATTTCTGGGGCGCGGGAGATTTCATCGAGGAACTTATCAGCTGTTTTGTAAGTATAAATTTTCCACGTTTACTTCTCCATATTGGTTGTTACAGTAAAACTCTGTTATAACGAAGTCACTGAGACCTATGTAATTGCTTCGCTATATCCGTAATTCGTTATATCCGTGTAAGAAATTTGTTAAATTTATATAGCTGGGGATCCAAAATAACTTCGCTATAACAGTGAATTCGCAATATCTGTGTTCGTACTAACAGTTTGTCAATAGTAATGTTACATCCAGAACAGAGAAATATTGATTGAATACTTGTGATTAAAGTCGATAGATTATTCCGAAAGGGATGTATCAACTTACGACTTTTATTTTTCTCAAACTAACTCAAATTGTTTAGCATCTTTATTTTTTTTGAATAAGACTATATTTTCCCATTTTGACGAAATTTTATCTAAGAAGGGTAAAAATAATTATGATCAATATTGACTTGGAAAAAATGTTTCCCTTTTCTTCTGTTTAATTGCAAAGTATATCAGCCCAATCTTTTTCTTCTCAGTCTTGAAATATTTATAATTTGGTTTGCATACATTCCGAAATGAGAAATGCCTATTGTTCTGTCACAAAACGATTATGAGTAAAATGCCTTTTTTTCCTTTCATTTAGGGATGTCTCGAATCAAGAGGCCGATCACACCGAGGTTACTACTCCAGAATGAAGAGATATCTCTACGACTTCTGGAATGTTGTCGACTTATTGTCGTACGCCCTACTGATCACAGCTTTATTTGTACGTCATTTCCACCCCTCTGAGACCTTCACAATAGCCAGAAGAATGTTCTCTCTCTCCCTACTTGTCATGTACCTGAGGTTTCTTGAAGTATTTCTTATTCACCGAAGGATGGGACCAACACTTATCATGATCAAGGAAATGGTTAGTGGTTTGATTAGTTCATTATACATGTAAATGGTTTAAGATTTTAAGCGTACACAGAAACGTAACCTGTACTGGTAGAGATCTTTTAATTTTTACTTTTACAGGAAATAATAAAATTCAGAGTAGAAATGTTCGAAAGCTAAACCCTTTCACAAGTATCGTAATTGCGCGCTCAGTGTTATGTACAGAGTTAAGCAAATTTAACACACCTGTGAAATGTACACGGCTTTTGTAAACAGTGCACAAGCTCTCTTATTGTTTAGGTTTACGATCCTCAGGCTGTGTTCAGTTGTTTAAGTCTGCTCACAACAACTGTACGGACTGACAATATACTGGGTATGTGTTCTGCTTTCGAACGTTTCTACTCTGAATTTTCTGAATTATAGTTTTAATATTTCATTAATACACAACAAGATTGCTGCTTTTTCTAAGTATTAAGAATAAAATTGAAATTTGTGAAAATGCAGGATGTGTAAATCAAACCCGATAAAAAATTTAACTTTAAGATGAAATAGGATTTCTAATATATTTTTTGTGTTAAATGCAATTACAATATATAAGTCATGATATAAAACAGAAAATTTGAGAAAATATTTTCTCGGTTGCTTTCAGTTGAAGGACCTGTTTAGTTTCTTGTTTTTGGCGATGTTTGTTGTTTTTGGAGTTGGTATTTACTACCATGCCAATCTATGGCCGGACCATCAGACAATCTGGGACGGTGACTGGACAAACTGGAGAATCTGGACTATAATATACTACCCTTACTGGCAATTATACGGAGAGTCATTCAATGAATTCCTTCAAGGTGATTTTAAGTTTGTACCAATGGCAAATCCGTCCAAATATATCGTTGATTAATGCTTCAAAATTAATGCCATTATATAAAATGAGTTTTAATAAAATTGCATGGTCACATTTCGTTATTTTCACTTATCATGTATGTAATTATAAATTTAAATGCACATGAACAATAAGGCCGCATAAACAAGAAACGATAGATCCTAATCAACAAAATTTTTGCTTATTCATTAATTATAGGAGAGGATCTCTCGGACTGTACCAATATAACCTCTGTCTGGGAGGTGGATCCCTCTATTGACCGCTGTCCACAGGAGGACTGGACAGTATTAGCTGTCTCAGCTTTCTACATGCTCTTCTCTAACCTTCTGTTGGTCAACCTGGTCATTGCCATGTTCAGGTACTATAGAATCCATTCAAGTCATTGAGAAAAGGAGTTAACTTGAACACTGTGTAGTACTTTAATTGTAGTATGAACTTTTTCAACAAACTAATTCTTTTTTGAAATATATTTTCTGTTCAAAAATATTCATTTTCAATCTTCTTGTTTATATAATGAAATATTAGTTTTCTTTCTAAATTTTGTATGTTTTATGTATTTTTCAATTTTGCTTTTTCTTCGTTTTTTTTTAAAAATATTAACGTTTTCCCTATTTTTCCCTTGTTTTTTAGCTACCTTACATAGCATGTCTTAAATCTTTCTTTAGCTACACCTTTGAGAGGGTGCAGAACAACGCTGAGAAACTTTGGCGTTTTGAGAGATACACGGTAATTAACGACTATGATTGGAGGATTCCCTCCCCCATCAATCTTATTTTTCTGCCATATCGATTCTGTTGCTGTCCTGGGCGACAAGGATGTTGCTTACATAAATGCAGAGGTATTATCAGCTAATTTAAGAAATTTCTTTATCTAAATACTTCTTGTAAATTGGTGGATTTTCTATTAATTAATATGCTAAAATATTTTATTTTAAGAATGTTGCTGCGCAAAGGAGGTAGCAGTGGAAAGAACTAAAGCAGAAGAGGAAGCTAAATACCGCAAAAATTTCCAAAAAATAACAGCATTCAAAATAAGGAATAATATGTAGGGAAGAAAAACTTATCAAAGAGGAAATGACAGTATGGAAAAGGAAGTTGAAATTCGAATGTGCTAAGATAGATCGTGATTTTTAAGTTATTTCATATGTTTGAGTTTATTTTGTTAAAATCATTATTACCCTGAAACACCTGTGATAGAATTCTTACACCGTCCTTCGTTTTTTATTCATATTTTTATAATAAACTTTATGAGCATAAAAGTTTTTTTTAGTTTCTGTTGAAAATCTTTGCTTGAATTGCTTTTTGTGAAAGGTTTGAAGTTAAAGCGTTTTTAAAAAATGAATTTTGTTAAGATAAGGAATAGTATTTGAGCTCAAAAGTCCATTAAAAATTACAACTAGAGGGGAGCAAACACAGACCACTAAGTCTTCAGAGATCGGATCAGGTGCCAGGGAGGAGGGAGTGAGCATCCCCTGCCAACTGGTCACACCCATGGCACTTGTGCTCCTTGTAAACATTACACATACTCCGCCAAGGTTCTGTGCAGGTTCATAATAAATAAAGGTTCGCGAACTATAATTTCATTATAAACAAAAAAAATTCATATCAGAATAATTATTCAATCCGTAAAATGAATTTACTTTAGACTTCAATCATATCAGCTATGATTAAAAGAAGGCACCCACCTTTTATCCTTGTTGGATAAATGACGCTCCTAAGACAAAGGACTCGGTTTGTGGTGGTTACGTATACCATGCTAAATCTGGGAAAGGATCCACCATCTTATTTCCAAGATAAGGTCATTTCTGACAAATAGACTGTTTTTATTTTAAGACATTGTAGAATACGTGCGAGACTCCATATAGTTTTTAACTTCTGTGAACAGAAGGCTACGGAACATATAACATGACTGCCTTGACCACGTGATTCGTGCATCGTCAGATGTGAGTCAATGTGCATTAAATTTGGAGATGTCTACTTTTAAAATGATGAACGCTGAAACCTTTTTTTCATTGCTTTCTGGAAGTTATTTAAATAGTTCGCGAATTTTTTGATCACTCCTCGTATATTCATGAACGATAGTTTTGTTATCTTAAAGCTGAATACGACTCGTTAATGTAATAATCAGACAGTACCGACCAGACCCAACCTGACACCCAAGGAGTCACAGACTGCTTTGGGACTCTGGGACTGTACTAGAAAGCAGACTGATTTGTTCACTCATGCGTGAAATATGTTCTGAGTGACATGATTGCTCCACTGTGTATTCTGAATTTGCAGGCTGCTACACAGGAAGAACAGCCACGGGTTCAGAAGGAACTGAAATTTCTTACCACGCAAGCACCATCAATGCCACCACAATTACTTAACGGCTCTTACTTTGAAGCACCCTTGCGGATCTCAGTGTTTTCTGGTGTAAGAAAGGACTCTATGAACTGTGAAAATATGAGATTGTTTGTAGCATGAAAGACTGTCATCCTGAGTCCATTCTTCAAGCCATCAGACGGTCCGTAAAAGGGGTAAAGCCAAAGTCATTATGAGTTTAGGTACCGGTGTAGGTGCAAGAAATCCTGTTTAAGCTGTATAGCATTTATGGGAACGTGTTAGAGAAAGAGGATATTTTTGGTGAACTCTAGAGCGCAAAACAGAAGGATGATGAGACTTGTTTTGCATGGAGTTATGCAAGGCGATAAAGATGGGTAAAGTTCAGAAAAGTGCAACAAATGAGATGCTTCGCACTTTGTTCTATAAATGATTCAGACAAGATTTGAAAGATATCTGCAGACATCTTTACCATTCCATTAACGAATTCGACAAGTTACGGATAGAAATCAGAAAAAATTGAGACTGAACATCCAGCAAAAAGGAAAGCAAAGTCAAAGCCAGCAATTGACAAAACGGGTGGATCTCAGCCTGTGCCAACCAGCACTTTGGATAGTAAGTTTGAAGCCCTGCAGGCTCAAATTAATCAAATTAATTAGCTGAAAAGGACATAAAAATCCTGCTACACACAACCCTCTTATGAATCTAGTAACTACTGAGGAAGACAACTCTATCATAGATGGAGGAAACAGTTCTCAGGTCGTGCTCTGAAACCGCTGTGGAACTGCTTTAGCAGTCTCAGAAAGCGTCCCCGGGACCGCTCTGGTACTGCTTTGTGTCAGGTTGGGTCTGGTGAGTTCTGTATGTCATTTTTAATATTGCTATCTACGATACCAGCACCAGGGTGTACTCTCTTCTGCGCATTCTTACACCTAACTGCTTAATTGCCACGGGTATCGGCATGGAATGGCGATTCGTGTTCGTGCTGTTTATCTTGCTGTACCACTTTTACTGCACTTATTACGTGTATCTGTGTTTGTTTGTATACTGCATAGACCTGTGAAAGTATCATAAGTTTCTTTGGTATCTTACTTTCCTGCATTAGAAGAAGTACATGTATAACCGTTGTCGCTACCGAGCATACGTCCGTCTACACTGGTGTTGACTGATTACATGTACACTTAACAATGACTAAGTCAGGCACCTTATACAGGGGTCCTCAGATAAAACGAGTCTCCAATCATAGATGGCGGACACATTATTTTTAAGAATCGTGCTCAGCTCGAATGATTTTCAAATTATAAGCGTTGCTGTAAAAGAACACTTAATTTTGAATGCAAATAACAACGATGAGAAAGAATAAATAAAATACAGATGCCAGATCTATTTCTCTAAGGATTAACAAAAATATGGGATATTTACAGATCATTTTTTATTTCGATTTATATGCTTTATTTATACGACTGTATGGTTAAAATGGTTTTCTGTAAGGTTATATCGTTCATGTTTTTGTGCATGAATTGTACTGCTTCAAATATCGTTAGTGCGGTATATTTATCGATGCTTATCTCCAATGTCTCAGATCAGAGGTTGTTTTCTGGTTACTTCAGATATGTTTCTTTTATTACAACTTTGCAAAGATAACAAATACGAGTTTAAATGCCCAATAGTCAATAATCAACAACAATAGAGGCTTCTTAATTATAGAATATAGCCTTGAAATTCGAAACAATTATTTTAAAAAAACAATGACTGTACCTTGACAGTATTATTTGTTCTCACCTAAATAACTCACAAAAAATAAACTAGGGTAAACTATAAGTGCGCCTGTTTGGTTTCCAAAACAGAAGGCGATGTTATTTTGTCTGGGGTGAATTCACAGTTTCTTAAGTCAATCACAGGTACTGTAATAATATTTTATTTTCTAGAAAAGAGATGTTTTCTTCAATTATGTGGTTTCAAAAAAAATCTTTGCATAAATTTGATGATTGATTAAGAAATAAGATCTTTAATTGTAGGGAATAAATAGATTAAACAATATTTTTCAAACTTTCTTAAAAATCAATATTAATCCTACAGTATTTGTATCTGTATGCAGTCCCTCGTTTGCTTCTTTTAAGACTTTTTTGACATTGTCCAAATATACCAATACAACCAAAAAAATCTCTTTCAAACCAATTACATATCATGCAAAAGACCACTCTGTCTCATTAAACGTTAATAATGAAATATTTATTTAAAAATTTATGAAAATATATGAAGTTTATATTCCTGTTTTGAATAGAAAAACATCAAGTTCAAATGTAGATTTAGTCAAATAGAAATTATATAAACAAAATTTAATGTTTTGCTTTAAAACAAATATACAAATGTACATAAGTGCTTTATCTCTGGCTTTTAATTATACATGAAATAAACATTAAATATATTATGTAATATTTTTCAGCATAATGGCCGAGGTAAATATCTTTCGAGGAACTCTCTTTTTCGTAATCAGACCACTCTTCTATATGGGCTGCATCCTTTATTTCATGGAAATCCCTGAAGACGAATCCGGTTTTTCAAATGGAACAATCACTCTGCTTATACCTTTACTATATGTATGTGCACAAATCACTTGAGATCCACTTTAAACTTTAAATTCTGTCCATTTCATTTTAGATCTAAGTGGGAGATAACTTTAAAATGTATATGATATGTATGTCATCAATGGATTTGGCGCACATCATCACAACGGTTTTAATGCCACTGTCTGATTAACAGAAGTTCCTGGCTTAAATTTTCACTATTTTAACAGATAGAATTTCATCAGCTGGATTTAGGTCCAAAGAGAAGTCCAGCATAATTTAATCCTAGAGGAATTTCTGCTTTGTTTACTCTGTCATGGGCCTGAAAAATATGAAACATTAATTAGGTTAATTTCAAAAATTGCCAAATATTAAAAAAAACAATGCTATAAATACAGTTTTAACTACAGTTGTTATCTTTATACAGTAAGTAATGTGTACATCACACAAATATACAAAATACAAACCTGAGGAGGAAATTATTTAATTTTACACATTTAGAGCAATTAATTTTTTTTTTACAGGTAAAAGAATATAAATTGTCACTGACTACTAAAACTTTAAAGTACTTATAAATTATGCTATGAAATAGGGGCACAATGACAATAAGTAACTTTACAAATTGAACATAATTTGGCTATTTAATATCAAAGTAATGGTCATAGTTTCAAACACTCATCTTTCATGTCTTTTCTCTTTTAACTCCAGTAAAATTTAAAAGGAGCCATTGAGGCTGAAATGATTAATCGATAATAAAGATTCTGTGTGAGGATTAAGAACGCATATCAATATGTATGTAAAAATATTTAAATATCGCAAAAAGAATAAGGCATTTTTTGTTTATACTTATATTTTGTGTTAATTATATATGATAAACATATTTTAAAATCAAAATTTTTATATAAAAATACATACCAGTAATAATTCTCACCACTTATATAAAATAATTTTGTTTTACAGCGGATATACCATGTATACAGCTTATTCTTTTAAATCAAATGAAAATTATTCATAAATAATTGTGAAGAAATGGGTACCCGTGAAGAAATGGTTAGTTCTTAAAATTTTTATGCCCCCGGATCGATAGATCTGAGGCGTATATTGTTTATGTCCTGTCTGTTTATCTGTTCAGCTGTTTGTCTGTCTGTCTTTTGTCAATTTGAACATTCCCCATAACTTTTTAACTTTGAGAGGTAGAGACTTGATATCTGGCATGCGTACTCAACTTAAAAAGTTCTTTCAAAAGACACCAACTTCAATGACCTTGTGACCTTGACTGTGACCTACATGCTTAAAATAGTTCTTTCGAACTTTTACCATAATCATAGGAGATGGAGACATTATATTCGGTATGCATATACCACTAATAAAGTTCTTTCAAATGACATTGAGGTCAATGACCTTATGACCTTGACTGTGACCTATACGCTAAAATAAAGTTTTTTTTAACTTTGTTACCGCTGACCGCATAGTGTTTCACAAACACATTTTGTTCAATACAAAAAAAGACCTCCTGATCAACATGACCAGTTCAAATATTTGATACATATTGACATTGTATTGTAGCTCAAATATCAGGATAGATACATATCTGCCTTCTGAAAAAATTATATATCTGTTTAAAGCCTTACGTACAATCTAGATTCTACTCGTAAACCAGACACAGGACAGTACTTGATAGGGAACAGCCTAACTAAGACTGCAAAGATAAAATCCGTAACCATGCATACTATTGTTTAAGAGTTGACTTCTAGATTGGTTCAAAAGTTGAAATACATGTATTACGTTTGAGTTGACTTGGTTATCAGTCGTTCAGCTTATATATGTACATTACCACATCGTTGTAAGCATGAAGCTCTCCTTCTCGTGGCTGCTTGATAAAAAAATTTCCTAATCTTTATCTTGATGCCTCAATCTTTATTGTGACGTCATATGACATTGAAAGTGAACATGGGTTTCTTTCCATCCCAATTGAAATGAACAATTTACATTCATTCAACAGTGTTTCTTACACTACGACTGGGTATCATGATCAAAGGAAAATATCTGACTTTGCTTTATTTGCATTGGTCAATATTAATGAGCTACAAAATATTAATGATCGAGCTAAAAAATATTCTTTCTCATTTGACCACGGTCAGAATGGGAGAAGCTAGGTTTTACATTTTGGTCGTGGTTGCAACAATGGGTTATGTATAATTTGACTTGATACCTTGTGGATTAATTACAGAATACTGCATCTGCAGATTCTAAATTAAAAAAAAATTCAATTTTTTTTTATTCAATTGTAAAAATTGACCTTTAAAACCACATGTGTTTAACATGTTTAAATGCCTTAATCGCTCAGAATTTTGAGTTTTTAATTTTTTGTAATACTAACGTTAAATCTGTTTCACATAATCTTTACCATTTTTATATAATCTGATTAAAAAAAACAACATTGTTTACATACCTTCTGAGTGGTTGTAGTGACTGTACTGATGATCTGTTGGTTCCCTGACTTTTCAATTTAAAACATAATATTTTCGCTAAAATATTCGCAGGACACGCAAAAAATTTTCATCTGGATTTGACATAAACTGATAAACTTCATCATGTTCATTGTCCATCACGTTTCCATGCTTACACGTTGCACACACTAGGGCTATTCCACCTACTGAAATTGCATCACAAAAAGGATAAATCATCGCATTTTAGCTGCAATCAATATCAAATAACTATGTTACGATAACTTCGCAAGATGAAGATTTACTTCCAACTTCCACTGTGTCGCCATTTTGTTTCTTTACGATTGCAATATGACAAAACGAAATTCGTTAAAAATCGCAAAATTTTTCGGTGAAAAGTGAAAACAGATAAAGGGAAGTCATTTAATGCAAATTACAAATAAAAATTACCCCAGAAATTATTCTTAATGGCTTAAAATAGCGATGCTGTTTTTGAATTATCCACTTCCGGCAGGATAATCCTACTTCCGGTAGCATTACTAGCATTGACCTAGTTTCAAACCAGCATCAGGATAAGGATCAAAACTGGATCAGGATAAGGATAACTAGCATCAAAATCAGCAAGCAAAGGAAGCATCAAAATCAGCAAGCGTAGGAAGCACCAAAATCAGCATTGATGCTGTAACAAAATTATTTCCCTGCACTGTACATAAGTACATGTAGCACATAAGTTGTCTAAAGTAACATTATATGGTAACATCCGTTGTTCATGGCCTGTCATGGCTGGTTCCACCTCCACCTCGCACAAGCGGGGGGAGGCCACAGTCTGGTAAAGTAAGTGGGTACACCAGGTGGCGCTGGAGACAGGGAGAAGGGCAGTCCCGCATTCACTGGTCCAGAACGTGGTGACCGTTCGGATCGGGAACTTGTGCTTACACTCGGCCCCCCATGTGCCCATGGTTATTTTGGTACATTTGTAGGTATCCCCCGTCCCCCACAAAAAATTGCGGCCTTTTTATCTCCAATTATGTTGATTGTAATAAATGTGTGTTTTTGTGCTCAAAGTGTTAATAATAAAGTGATAGAACTTAATACAGGTGTTATCATTACAAGTGTTCACATGATAGGATGCGTCTGATCTGAGTTGTCTGTATGTCTTCTATCCTAGTAGTGGATGGACTTGAAGCAAAGCGCTTGCGCTGCAAGTGCAGTGTATGAGGGTAGTACACTAAACGGAAAGTTGTGTAAAGGGATCATGCTCCCTGTATCTATAATTAATAATATTTTTATTACCCCTTTCTTTAAGACATACAGAATATCATAGCGAAAAAAGTTGCATTAAAACAGTAAATACGCTTCATTTTACTATGATGCGCGAAATATTGCGCAATGGAAACTATAGTCGGCTCCCTTAAAAATATTAATATAATGTGTTGTTACATGTACATTGTACACTACGCATTATATCATGAGTGTTTATATTTGATGGAGACAATAATTAAAGTTTCTTAAGAGTTGTTTACAAAATTCCTGATCATTTAAAAAACGGTTATTGTCTTTTGTATTCGTTCTACTCGTGACTGTACGGATCTGGTCAGGAATTGATTAACCTCGGCCTTCGGCCTCTGTCAAAACAATACCTGACCAGGTCCGTATAATCTCGGGAAGACCTAATCAAAAGTCAATAATTGTATAATGTACATGTACAATTCAACGTACGTTCAATGAACATTGACAAAATATACCTGCAAAACACATTAAAATTCTTTCGAGAGATATGAAATAACGAAACATTTAACAGGTGAATTGATAAAGATATTTTAAATCATAATGTGCATTTTATTGTAGTTCACTCTTAAAAAGTCCAAAAATATTGGACGTTAGAGTGTATCAAATAACTGAATAGTTAGTAAACAACTTTGAATACCAATTTGCTTGACGGATTAATGATTTATAATGGCTTTTAAAACGAAATAAAACAGTTTTTCGAAACAGCAAATGAATGCCATCCCATACTGAAATTTTTCTATAGATTATCTGAAATATCACTGCAATTTCTGGACACATGTGCATACAAAGGAACCCGTTGCACAGAATTTCATATTCTTGATGTTAAATAATATATATAAAACCAACAGATACATTCCAATATTTGCACCGCAACATCATTCACCCTAAATCAGTCTCCTTAACCCTCTTACTGCCAGAACTGTGTCTAATTTGTGCAGTTGATACGCCAGAACTATTGCTTATACATATCAGAATGCATGGAATATTCGTTTAATTATAAACAACTTTCTACAGAAAAATTTTGATTATAATGATAAAATTACAAAACATATTACTAAATAACGAACACAGGGACATTTCAATAAATCTTTTCACGTTAACTGCGGTCCTGTTTTTAGCGCATGCGTATAAATGCTTCCGGACGGCATTCCAGAGTTTACATTAGCAACGTAAACAATGGTAATACAATGCGTCGTTTTTAAATGTTCTAACAGACAAGGAAGTAAAACCAAAGAGAAAGGTGTGAGTTTTTTTCGCTTCCCTAAAGACAGGAAGAAGAGAGCAGCTTGGATTAGGGCCATCAATAGAGATAACTGGTCTCCAAATGAGTACAGCAGGGTTTGTTCCGAACATTTTGTGGAATCATGGCACAGTGACGACCCTGCAGATGAGAACTATCGTCTAACCTTATTTAAATATAAAATAAAGCCAAAGTCGAAGTCGGAGACTGCCCGCAATGCCAGACATAGCAAAAGAATTTTACTTCAGGCAGGTGAATTTATGAATAAGTTTACTTAATATGTTCATTATTGAGTACTTTGTTTAGAGCTAAATGGGCTCACTATGATGTATGGATACTGTCTAAAGGTTCTTTGTTGCCCTATTTAATTGTAAATAATTCATTATCTTATCCCTTACCTAATGTATTTTTTACTCTCTGAAATCTCTCCCTTTTTTTTTACTTAATTATACAATCATGTACATTTAATTAAGTATATTGTTGCAATTATAAAGGGTCAAGGTGTGAGTGCATCTTGCACATTATAATTATGTAATACCACATACTAGTAAATATATTTAGACATTTAAAATTTATCAGACACCATACTATTTACCCAATTCTTACAGGTTATATACTTAAAATAACACTAATTAATGTTGTCAAAAACTTTTTAAAATTACTATTACTGATAGTTA